TACGGGGAAGGCAGCGTCAGTCCGGAGCAAGCGCCGAAGGGCGTACCCTGCTGGAGGATCATTGTAGGCGACCTCTTTGCTTTCCAGTGCTCACCTTGGAAGCGTTACACCCAGACGTTTGATCCGGACAGGAACAATGAAGTGGGGGAGAGCAAATGCGTGCTGAGGTAATGAGGCATTCCCGGTACACCGGGAGATGGGGGCGTGGGTCACCGCTGAGCATAAGGGAGTCACCTCGACTGGTTGCGGCGCTTTCGGAGGAGCATCCTTGCCTCACGGTCCTCGGGGTTGCGTACGAAGTATCTCAGGATCGCGATGGAATGGTTCAAGGATGGAGAGGATGGCCAGTCACGAGAAGAAGAGCGTTATCAACGCTGTGGACGAGGTACCTCGATGTCGGCTTCGATAACGACAGCTCAGTATGCCTTGGGCACGCAAGATGTCACTCACGCCCCCACGGCCGCATGCGACGACCGGCTGACCACGCCGTACAAGTGCGGGTGGTGCAGGCCAGCTGAATATCTCCGGTGCGGAATGCGTGTACTGCTCGCAGGAAGCCAGCGATGACCGCTCGCTGCGTCTGAAGAGAACAGGCTGCGAGCAGCAACAAGCAAGATCAACATTGAGCCATCGGCGACGTCCAACGTTGGAATGCAACCGGGTCTACCAGGTTCTTGGACTGTTGATGAGCAACAATCAACCGCCGATCCTGTATCGAAAATGAGCAAATCCCTTGATGGTCGAATCAAAGGGCAAAGTTGCGTACATTTTGACTTTTGTAACAGCTGGAGAAAGGTTGAGGTCAGCTGGACATGACAAAAGGCAGAGACGCTGGGACGACGAGGATGAGGACTACGGCAGAAGGGCGGAGATTCGGCACGCGAGAGCAAATGCCAAAATCAGACGAGAAACACACTTGCTGAATGGGTGACGGGCCAGCAAGAAAGACTGGGAAATTGGGTGACACGTATCGCATTAACGCATCGTCACCAAAGTCCACGGCGCGATGCAACGGCGGTCGAGATAGGGCGGTACAGGCAAGCAATGGCGGGCACCGGGCTCTACAGAGCACAACGCATCAAAGCGACCTTGCGGCATGCCATGGCGCGTGCAGAAAGGGCGTCGACGTAATGGAGTCTGGGGGAAACAAGACACCAATTACGGTTCCTCGGCACCTAGTTTTAGCGGACGACAAACATGGGATCATCATGTCAGACTGACCTCACAAGCCCTTTCGTCACCGACGGTACCTGTTGATGCTGTCGTCGACTGGTTTCTTGGACGGCAAGCTCTGGCCGTCGAGCAAGGCATCATCTCTGCCATCGATTGCCTGCGTACAGACGGTACCTATTTCTCTACAGATGCGTTGTGGCACTGCATCGCAAATGTACCTGACCAACTCGGCACGTTGGCTCTTGTACTTCCTCCAACTCTGTGGTCTCTCGAGCCCAAGCATTTGCTTTCATCTCCCCCAGAGCGGGCTATTTCCAACGCGCGACGGCGGACGCAGGTCCTTGTCGCCTCAACAGTATATAGCTTTGGTGGTACTTGATCCCACCCTGCTCATTTCACAGCGAGCCAGGCGCCGAGGTATACCGCATCGTCCGCCGAGACGGCCGCACGGAAGACAGCCTTTTTGTTGGCAAGGAAGAAGTTTCGAGTCTCGCAGGACCCGGATGAGTGCATCGTTGGCTGCCGTCATCTTTTGCATGTCAAGTTGAAAGTGCGATAGCATGGCGCCGCCAATGCTGGCCTCGACATGGATATACACCGCAGCAGCAGCCGGAGTCATGTTGGTGGTTGCACAAGACAGGGCAGAGCTGGCAGGATCCGACAAGGCCAACTTCGTCCTGCAGTATAGACCCGGGAGTACAAGACAAGGCAACCGTCGAGGTTATTTTTTGCCCGTGGCGCGTGGGTGTGTGCTAAAATCCTGCTGCCCGGGAGGAAGAATTCAAGATTACCAAAGACGGGACGAGGAGATTGTTTCGTCAAACGGGGTGCCATTGATGATCCAACGGGCGAGGCAATACAAGAAAATAAAAGCACGAGACATCGGAGACAATACGCACACAGCCCCTGAGGGGGCAAATGAGGTGGAAACATGGCGAGATGCGCCGCGAACGACTGTGCCACAGGCGAGACGGAGAGAGAGAGAGAGAGCCACTTGAGGACTTTGGGCCCTGGGGGACGAGGGACATGGGCCCGGTCTGGCGCGTGTGTTGAGTGCTGGCGTTGGGGTTTGGCGTTGGCAGTTGCTTCTGACTTGTCCCCGGGCGGTGGTCTCGGGGGACGCACAAGACATTCCAACTGTGTGTGGGAGAGACAGCAACAGCGACAGAAACAGAGAGGAGTCATCCATCTCGCACACCCTCCCTCCTTTTCCATGCCAGCGGGACCCCTGTTCTGGACGAGAGCGGTGCACATGGCGTTGTATCCGGCCGGTACAGTACTTGGGCCTTGATCCTTGCCTATCATACTGCGTATCCTCAGGAGGGAAGAGAGCAGCGCAGCAAGCAAGCAGAGCAGAGCCAGCATGAGCCGGAGCAACAGCGGTTCCTGGTATTGGAATTGTTCTTTTCCCTTCTACATCAGGCCTCCCTTGGGTTTCCCCCGGAAGCCCATCGTGCGGGCTTGCGGCTTTGCTTGCGGCTTGTGGCCTGCCCATGACATGACGGAGCCCGGGAAGGGGGAGAATAGGTACTGTACGCAGCACGCAACATGGGAATTGCAAAGGTACGTACTTGCAGAGAATGCCATGTCCCCTGTCTGCCCTGGCTGTCGTGGGCCCTGTCTTGTCCTCCATGTTCCTGAAGGTTTTTTTTTAATTCTTATTTTATTTTTCTGCCGTTGCGTTGCCCCTTCTTTTTGATGTGTTTTTTTTTATCCTGTCCTCTTGGGTTTTCTGTATTTTTGGGCTGGTGGGAGGACCGGTGGCCCCCGTCTCTTTCGGCGTCTCCCTGCTTGCCCTCTCCTGTCTTTTTCGCCTTCACTCTCAGTCTTTTTTTTCTCCAGGGCCCCCCGCCCATCCATTCATTTGTTCGTCATGTTAACGACACACCCCCTTTTTTGCTTCTGTATGACGACACACCCTTTCTCTTGCTGTCTTTCGGCCTGTTGCTCTCTCTCCTCTACGAATGCTAATCCCTTTTTCTGAATTCTGCCCAGTTCCCCATCTTCTGCGCATGAGCCCTTTTGCTGCACTACATACACAAAAGTAAGTACTGCGTAGGTACATACTTCTTACGGATCTATGTGTGCTGGGCCACTGGTTGTCGAGCTTTCTGCCCTGCCAGTCTGCTGCCCCCTGTCGGGATTGGATTCTTCTCTTCCGTCTTCCCCCAGGTACTTGGTCAGGTACCCAAAGTCCAAAGGTCCGAAGGCAAGGTACGAGGATATCTTACGTCGTCCCAGGGCCGGGGCGCCAGCTAGCCCAGGTACGTACCCCACTGGGGGAGGAGACGTTCATGTCCCATTTTGATGTCCCATCCAAACTGCGATTGCAAAGTGACGCCCAGCGTCTCCATCTCGGCCCTGTGCGCTACGGCTACGTGACTGTGACTTTTTTTCCTCTACAGACTACTGCGTACTCTCCCATTCCCCCCCCCTTCCGTGGCCGCCCCTCAATTCCAGCCCAGCCGGTCCAGTCTCGCCATCGGGCCAGCCTCGTGTCTCCACTTTCTTGAGAGTCCAATTTTGGGAGAAGAATGGAAAACAGAAGAAAAGTCAAGTTGGGGAGTCACAACAAACACATCACGAGAGATGCCACGGAAGAAAGGAGAGACACTGCTAGACACTGCAAAGACCAGTCCTCTGCTGAGGTACTCCGCGGTGACGGGTGGACGAAAGTGACGGGACGTGGTGGGGCTGACCTTGGGGATACGTACCGCACCAGCAACTCACCTCGAGATCAGAAATATACGTACCTCTGCGGATAGCTTCCACTGAGATGCTTTGAAGAGCTTAGCGCCGTCTCCCAGTTCACGCCCCCGTCCGCGGCGTTCGCCCTCCCATTTCCCTTCTCTCTATTTTGCCTTTGCCTTTTTTTTGCCCTTTCGTGTTCCGCTTTTTATTTATTTTATTTCTTCCTGTCTGCCTCTTTCGCTTGAATCACGAGTTTAGCGGCTTGACAACAGCACAGGTCTAGAAGGCAATGTATGGACGGAGTAGAGAATGGAATTGTAAAGAGGAGATACCTAAGAAGAACTTCAGAAATACCGTGCCTTGTCAGCCAAGGTACCGTAACTTGCACTTTGGACTTGGCCCGCGTCTGCGCGTATCCTTCTTTCGCATTCCTCGTCCCGTCCTCCTCATTGCCCACAAACCTTTGGCCCTCTACTGCGTACGGTTGACCATTGCTGTCTGTAGGTACCTCTCCCCCCGGCTTCTTTCGCCTTACACCATCCGGTACCACACGCCCCTGCGCCCACACTCCTGCGCCCATCCACGCTCCTCTGCCTCCCGCCCGGCGTGTGCGTTGTACCCATGTATCTCGTCGTACGATTTGGTATGGGAAAGTACTTGATGATGCCCATGTAGGCTACTTTATTCCTACCCATCCATCTGGGCAGCCCATCTTGGCTCGCTCCCGTTTTACTTGCACGCCTTCCCTGCAAACACACACACTTGCTGGCCCAGAGAGGTGTGTATCTGTTCTGTCTCTGTCTCTCTAACTGAGTCTTCTCTTGGTCTCCGTCTCCCACACTTTTCTCCCACTCTCCCACTCTGGCCGCTCGCTCTCTGAAGCAGCCCTGTCAAGTCACTCTACGCCATACTCCCCTCGGTGTCTCTACCGTTCTTCACCTGGGGTTTTTCTGACTCTCTCTACCTGCTACCCTGCTCAACCTTGCCCAGCACCACTGTCCGCAAGCCCACACACGCCTGTCTGTCTACCTGACCTGACCAGACCAGACCTTACCTTCTTGCGTATCCATACACCACAAGGGGATACTTTGCTAGGTACTTCCAATTCCTACACACACCTCTTGATCCCCTGTCCTCCGTACTCCCGTACTCTCTCGCTCGTTTCCCTTCGTTTCCACCCTCACCCTCGCCCTCACCCTCTCTCTCCTGACCCTGACATTAATTGTGCTGGTCTTTGCCCTTACTCCAAAATAAAGCTCTTGGCTATGCCTCCTTCCCGCTCCGTCTACTCATAATTTCCCGGGCCCCAACTACCACTCCCGCCCACATAAGACTTGACTGGCCACCACCACCACCACACCTTCCGTCTTGACCTGACCGTCTACCAGCCCAGTCAGTCTCACACGCACCGCACCGCACCGCACCGCGCTGCTCCTGCTGCTGCTGCTGCTACTACTACTACACCCACCACCACTCGCAGTCACCACCACCACCACCACCACTGCCAACGACGTCTGACCTGCAACGCTCCTTTGCTGCTTTGCTCAACTACATAACAACAGACCACAACCCTTACTCTTCTTCTTCACCACACGTACACAATCACCCGCACTACTCGCCAAACAACTCAACCTGCCAAAAACAAAACAACAGAAAACTCATTGTGTTCAATAGTTGCGCGCCCGGCACTCGACCCGAGGGATCTGCCCATTGACTCATCTGCAACTGTTGCGCCGTGCGCACCCTCCCGAGGAACCACCACCACCACCACCCAAGACTTTCTCTCTTGTTGCGCCGAACCACCTCCCACCCGATTCAACGTTCGATTCTTCTTGCCGGACACGAGCCTGCGCGACCTAGGACTGCAACCAGTTGCCAGAAGCGAACGCAAGGTGTCAAGGAAGACACACGAAAAAAGAACGAACGAGCATCCGCTGCGGGATCATTGCATAGCGGCTTGCCAATGCTGTCGGTCCCGTCGACCCCAACCTGGAAATAGACCCAAACCAGTCACTTGCATACAACACCTGCCACATCACACACCTCGCCTTGGAGAGCCCATCGCAGCAACTGCGCAGGCCCGCACATTTTTGTCGAGCAACCCCCAAACCCAGAGGCCGGAACTCCCAAAAGACGAAACGACGGACACCTGCCATCACGATTGGCCCAGTCCGACCCTGCTCTCGTCCGCCCTGCCACGCCTACATCTTCTCTACGCCTACGCCTGATTCACTCTGCTGGTCCGCCTGCAGTGTACCAGTACGAACCACCAGCGCCCATAACTCTCCCACCCGTGTGGTCTGTCAGGACCTCTGGTTTGCCGCATCGCATCGCACCGCGCGGCGACCTACACGACTCTGCAGCAAAGAGATCACCACCCTTTCCCCACGGCCTGCTGCTTCCTTCTTGGACCCGAACCCTTGCCCGCCTGCCAGACAGCCCCGTGTGTGTGGAACGCCCACCTTCATATCGCAGGATCGACCTCCTCCCACGCATCCCCCGCATTCTCTATCCCTCTACGGGCCGTTCCACACGACCACACTCTCCAAGGATGCCGTCTCAAGCAGCTACTACTTCTTCATAAAAACGCCAGATCATCCACCTAGGATCTCGCCGCGGGGACCTCTCCAAACCCGCGTGTAGCGAAGGGCTACCCCCACGAAACTCACATCATGTCTCCCACCTCTACTTCAACTCAGTTGCCCTCACCTCTACCCCTTTCCAAACCTCCCACCATGCCTCCTCAGTCTACTCAGTTTAGGCGCACACGTCCAAGCCATGTACAGACAAACATCCCCTCCAACATTCACCTACAACACCTACAGCAACAGCAGCAATCACAATTCGCAGTACCAGCTTCAGCAATAAGCGCCTCTTCCGTGGCCTCCAGCTCGCAGCAGGGCTCGCCCGTCATGTCCCCAGAGAACGCCGTCATGACGAGCAACAGCTCGCTCCAGGCTTCCCCTGAGCACCGGGGCCGTGAGCTTGCGGACGACCAGTTCTCGGCCGGCTCCTTTTCTCTGCCCGAGTCCGTCATCTCAAGGAAGACGAGTGACAACTCGCTTGGGCAGACCTTGGTGGGCAGCCCCAGTGCCATGTCAGAGGCCGTCAGCAAAAGCAACAATATCATTCGGCGTCTGTCGAACCGGGCCACGGCCAGGTTCACCCGCCGCAGGACATCCTCCGCTGCGCCCAACAGCCGTGACGGCAGCGTTGGCCCCGGTATGCTCCGCCGGAGGAGTGACAGCAACAACACGGCCCCGCCCGACCTTGCCGCGTATAGCGACTCTGACGATGAAATCATTGATGAGATGGACGATCTCAGGTCGTTGATTGGTGGTCTTGACGGGGCTCTCAGAGAGTCGTCCTCGAATAGCACCACCGCGTCTCTGGCCGGCTCCACCTCGCCTTCCAACACCACCGCCGGCCCCGTCATCCCCTTCCAGCTGCTCAAGGGCACCTGGATTAGGAAGGTCTCCAAGAAGAACTGGAAGAAGCGTTTCATCCTGGTCCTGGAGCCCGACGCCGCCAAGATTTCCTGGGATAAGTCCAGGGGAAAGCAGCTCTACATTGACGACATCAAGGAGATTAGGACCGGTTCCGATATTCGACAGTACCGTCTCGACTATGGCGTGCCGGAATCCGAAGAGGCCCGCTGGTTCTCCATCATGTACGTCGTGCACAACACGTCAAAGACCAAGATGATGCACCTGGTCGCCGACGACGAGAGCACCTTCCACAACTGGGTGACTACGCTCGAGGCCATCTCCAAGCACCGACAAGATCTCATGGCGTCCTTGATGGCCTTTAACGACCGTGCCATCCGCGACTACTGGCTCACTGAGATGGCAAGGCAGAGTGGTGAGAAGACGCTGTCTCTCGACGTCGGCGACATTGACTTTGAGGGAGTCCAGCGCGTCTGCCGGAATCTTCACATTCACGCCTCGTACCAGGATTTGTCCGAAAAGTTTGGTAAGGCGACTGGCACCGACACTGGTCGCGGGAATCGTCGCCTCAACTTTTTCGAATTCCAAAAGTTTGTCGGTTTGATGAAGCAGCGTGACGACATTCGCCATATCTACTATCAGATCGCGGCTAACCCACTAGCCGGCCTCAGCATCGACGAGTTCAAGAAGTTTTTGCGCGACGTCCAGGGAGAGAACGTTGAAGCGGACCCTGCATTCTGGGAGACTGCGTATAACAAACTGGCCCGCAAGCACGCCAAAGATTCCGAGTGGACGAGCGAAGGCCCTCGCATGAACGACGCCGCCTTTGCCGCTTATTTGACGTCGACCTACAACCTGCCCGTCATCAAGGAGCCCAAGACCTACTCCCTCGACCGTCCGTTGAACGAGTACTTCATCTCCAGCTCTCACAACACCTACCTTATGGGTCGACAGGTCGCCGGTCTCTCGAGCGTCGAAGGCTACATCTCCGCGCTCGTCCGCGGTTGCCGTTGTGTGGAGGTCGACTGCTGGGATGGACCGGATGGCAACCCCACGGTGAACCACGGCCGCACGCTCACCACTTCGATCAGTTTCCAGGAGACCATGACCACGATCAACAAGTACGCCTTTATTGCGACCAAGTACCCTCTGTGGATCTCCCTCGAGGTCCACTGCAACCCGGCGCAACAGGCCGAGATGGCCCGCATCATCAAGGAGACCTTTGGCGCTCGTCTCGTCACCGCACCCCTGGATCCATCCTCGGACAAGTTCCCGTCGCCCGAGCAGCTCAAGGAGCGAGTGCTCATCAAGGTCAAGCGCCCGCAGCCACCCCCGGAGCCCACCAAGCCGGCCGAGTCGACCGGTCGCCGACGGGGCAACAGCCTGAGTTCCCCGTACCCCAAGCCGGTTCAGCTGGACAACAGCATCGTCCCCTCGCAGTCGCTGCCGCAGAGCCCCATCCTGAGCCCGAGCCACTCGTCCCGCCGTCTCGTCAGCAAGAGCCGTGTCAACACCATCACCGAGGGCGAGGTCCAGGACGCCCTGAGCAGCAGCACGAGCGACAACGACAGCGCCGGCGAGCGCATGCCCCCCAGACGGTCATCGAACAAGACGGTCAAGGTGCTGGGAGATTTGGGTGTGTACTGCGCCGGCCTCAAGTTTGGTGGTTTCGACGCCACCGAGGCCAAGGCGTACAACCACATCTTTTCCTTCATGGAGTCGAGCTTCCACAAGAACAGCCGGTCCAAGGAGGAGAAGAGAGCCATCCAGCTCCACAACATGCGGTACCTCATGCGCGTCTACCCCGACCGCACTCGAATCACGTCCAACAACTTCAACCCGATCGGCTACTGGCGCAAGGGCGTGCAGATGGCCGCACTCAACTGGCAGACGTTCGATCTCGGCATGCAACTCAACCAGGCCATGTTCGAGAGCGGCACCGACCGATCCGGCTACGTCTTGAAGCCCAAGGAGCTGCGCGAGATCAAGGTGATGCCCCCCGGATGGGAGGGCCACCACCGGGAACGCCAGGAGGTCACCTTCACCATTGATGTCATCTCGGCCCAGCAGCTCATGCGCCCCAACGGCATGCCCAACAACAAGACGGTCGACCCGTACGTCGAGGTGGAGGTGTTCCACTCCAGCGACAAGAGGGACAAGAAGGACACCGACGCCGAGGGCTCGCTTTCGGATACGCCCCTCATGTTCCGCACCAAGATCAGGGCGGGCAACGGCTTCAACCCCATCTTCAATGAGAAGTTCACCTTCAAGGTCACGACCAAGTTCCCCGAACTCATCTTTGTTCGCTGGTCGGTCAAACTCTCGCACAACGGCGAGAGCTACAACGACCGCCAACCCGTCGCGACGCACACCGCCAAGCTCAACGGCCTCAAGCGCGGCTACCGCACCCTGCCCCTGTTTGACCACAACGCCGAACAGTACCTCTTCTCGACCCTCTTCTGCCGCATCAACATCGACTCCGTCCAGACCGTTCTGCTCAGCAACAACGACGACCTGGAATCCACGGGCACCAGCAAGTCTCGTGGCGTCGGACGCGTCTTTAACACGTTTGGCACTCGATCCAACAACATTAGCCCCAAGTCCAGCATGGAGAAGGCGACCTAGACGGCTCCATCACATGGCCGTCCCCTCTGTACCATGCTGAGGCCTCACCACCTTCGCTTCTTGGCATAAATTTGTTTTCTTTTTTATTCCCCAAGTTTTGTATCAGTATCGACAGAGAATTAACGACATATGCCCGGGGGGGCCTCGAGTACCCCCTGGGGCGAAACGACACGGCCGAACCCAAAAAGACAGAATTCCCAGCGCGCCCCAATTTTTTGGATCTAATGTGCTACCAATACCCCCTTTGGCATTCGACTGCGGCGTACTATTATTGGCATGAAGGAGAACTTCCTGGTGTAGTCTACGACTATTTTTCTTTCGCTTCACCCGCTCTCCTTGAAGGATGCGAGGCACTTTTTTCTAGGGATACCAACGGGACACCTTTTTTTTTCTTTTCTACTTTTTTCATTTGTTCATGGGATTATTCATTGGGACGGCGAAATAAGGGCATAACCGTCACCGCCCCCGAGAGGCCTGATGCCCGGGGGTCGCGTCGACTTTTTGAAACGGGAAAGGACACACAGCATATACCACATGTCAGGAAGGGACAGGAATATCATAGAACTGGGATCAATCCGACATGATGAAAGCAAGAGTCGAGAAAAGACCATAGGAAAAAAAGTTTCTTTCTTGTTTCGAACGATTTGTCTCGAAAGAGGACCCACAGTACACGATGGCGGATGACTGTTACTACTCACCTTTTCAAGCGTTGCATTACCCCTGGGTCGGTTTGTGAGAGGTGTTTTGTTGATTAACGGGGGAGGAATCTCCTGGCGACTAGGGAGGAATTTGCTGACTGCGTGGAGGATATCTGGACGAAGCGGATGGCCAGGACGGTCCCGCTAGGCATCGGGCTAGCATGGTTTGGAGGGGGTAATCTGTTTAAGCATTGACGTGAAGCATAATCATCTGGAATGGATGGACCGGGCGGGGGGGCATACTATCTTGTTTGGTTTGCATGGGCGGACGAACGAACGGAGGGGGAGGGGGGCCAACTGGAATGTGTAGGTAGTTTTGCTGCGGAGAGAATGGAATGGGGTCTTAAGGCGGGGCTGGTTGAGGAGCTCGTATAATGTCAATGATTGCCCTGATGGGGTGCTACCTGCCTTTCTGTCTGTCTGTCTGGACCTGGCTTGGTGATTTGTAGCGCGCAGTGAACTATGAACCATGAACCTTGTGCTCAGACCGTTTGTTGATGTCTGATGTTTGGGGCATGTCATCAGGGTCGTCGTGGGATCTTTTCTGCCTTTTCTGCCTTTCTGGTACTTGAGAAGAGAGCAGAGAGGTAGGCCGTAATGGGCTTGGGTGGTGGTACCTTGTTCGAAGGTTTGGCAGGTGTTTGGAGTAGGTGTAAGCTAGATGGGGGCAGAGGAGGTACTGTTTTTGCGAATACGTGTACGCGGGGTTGGAGGAAGTCACCAGAGAGGGCAACACCAGAGACGAAAGCGTCGATGTCGGCGTGGGTAAAGTTGTAGCTGGAGGTTGTGAAGGGCAGTTGGCCTTGGACTTTGGAGGAGAGAAGTGGGGGCAGCTGAATGTTTGACATGACTTGGTGCGTATGGAAGTATGGGTGGGCATTAGACTTTCGAGCTTCTTCTTTTTTTTCCCCCTCTCCTTGCTCTTAATCTTCTTGTTTCTCTCCATGTACCTACTCCGTAGTGTAGTTGAGTTTCCTCCATTGCAGTTTGCAGAAGGAGGAGGATGGGAGGGGGGAATGGCATGCGAACGGGGGTGGGGATTCCTGCGGCCGGGCCGGATGGCAGGCAGAGCGTGCGTGTGTTGCTGTGTCCCGTGCTCAAGCTCTCTCCAGACTTTTCTGTCGTTGAGTGAGTGTGGTGGGTGGTTCGATAATTTGTTGCGGCTTTTCTTTCCCATTCCTTTCCCAAGTGGGTTGGGTGTCACGGTGTGTAACTATGCATGCATGTATGTATGTATGTATGTGTGGTCTGGATGATCCGGGGTGCAGGAGGAGGGGAAAAGGACAGGGAGAGAGGGAGAGAGAGAGAGAGAAATGCGGTGGGAAATTTTATCCTTGGGGTTTGGGGATGGTGTAACATGTGCAATCTCCGTGCTGGAGATTTTCTTGTGTTCCTCCTTTTTTTTTTTGTTCTGGTCTACTTGTTCGCTATTTGCTGGGGGGCGTGTCGCACGCTAGAATTCCTACAGACTAGAGACTTGTCTCATGTACAGACAGTAGAGAGATTTCGCCGTGGTGGTTTTTACTCCATTTTGATTTTTCAAGGGGGATTCACTTGCTGGGGACATGGGTTGACCAAGGATCCGGGAGGATGGACGGAGGCCAGGGAGGAGGGGGGGGGGGGGGTTGAGAGACGAGAGAGCTCCCCGGGCCGTGGTCACTGGTATGTCTGGGGCGGGCTCTGAGGGAGAGGAAATCAAAGCAACCACAGCGACGACTGCGAAAGGAACGGCATTGTCGGCAGAGAATAGAAAGACTTGGCTCAAGAGGTTGGTGGAACCTGGACTCTGGAGGGAGGACGGGAGGAATTGACCAATGGCGGGCATCAAACAGTTGGCAATCCAGTTGCTATCCGATTTTGCCGTGTCTTCCGGAGCTGCATCCGGAGGGGGCTCCGTACCAGAAAACGAGGCAGGCAGAAACTCCCCTTCCCGCTTGGCTTTTTCTGCTTGTGCTGCTTGCACATGCTTTGTGGCTAAAGGAGGGTAGGAGGAGGTCAAACAGGTCACTGTCAGAGTGGTGGCTGGATGGATGGATGGAGCAAAAGACCAGACGGAGGAATGGATGGATTTAGGTACGTGCGGAGAGTAAAGGGACATGTGGGAGCCGTTGAGATGCAAAGGTAGATGCGGAGAATGTCTTCCTGATTGGGTGTATGTGCGACGGTTACGTCCCAGCGCGTCAGATGCGAGGTAGGTATCGCGATGTAGATTTTACACCACGGCTGCTGCTGCTCGGAGAGAAATGTCCTTTTTACGCGTGAGGTGAAGTACGACGTTGGACGCGAAGGAGAATGCGACGATGCCGGGGGCTTTGAATGGGCTGGGCGCGTGTCGCAGCCGGCGAAGCCCCCTGGGTGGGAAATGGAAGAAAGGAAGACGTCTGCGGATTCGAGGATTGACAGGGTAGGGATGTTGACGGGCAGCGGAGATCAACGCAGCAAGGCAGAATCTGAAATCCTGTTCGAGGGAGTTTGCGTTGCGTTGCCCCCTTCCCCCCTCTCGATCAGTACATAGCTGCACGGCGCGAGCAGCCAAGAAAGCATATGCATGGAACGAATAGAGTACGCAACCCGTCACTCGTGGCTTTCCTCTTGGCTTTCTTTCGCGACATACCTTGGGCGGCCGGGGGGGAAAGTGAAGTAAAGATAGTTTCAAGGCCAGAGGGGGGGAAGAACTGCTCCGGGAAGGATGCGTACATGGTACGGACGCAGTAAGAGCCTTGGTGATTGTCAAACAGGGTTTTGCAAGGAGAAAGTCAATTTCCTTGTTGCAGAGAATCCTCCTTCTTTTCTCTTCCACCGGAGTATTTTCTTGCCTGTCGTGCTTGTCTCGTCTGTGCTGGAAAGGAAAGGAAAGGAGAGGGGTGACGGCACATGAGGGGCATTGATCTCTGATATTCTAGATCGCGATCGACAGAAAAGAAAGGAACAAGAAAGAGAGATGAAATTGAGAAAAATGCGACGTTGGGCATGGGGTGGGCGACGGGCGATTTTCCAGGTTTTTTTGGCCCAGAATGCTACGCTACACAAAAGGCCAGGCCGGGCCAGGCTCCTCCTCGGCGATCACGATGGGCTTCCCGGGGTGGTTTCAACTTTCGAGGTCCCGGCTTTCGGGCTACGTTGAGAGAGCAGCAAGAATTTGATGAATTACAGTAATGTTACTGCCACGCTGATGGTTTACCTAGGAAATGTACAATCAACCGCAATGGGCGAAGCCGGGCAAAAGTGTAAAAAGTCATGAGACAAAAACAGCACCATAGTAGAAAATTGAGAGATGGGAACCAGACAGAATTGGACAGAACAGAACAGACAACAAAAAAATACCAGAAATTGGGGTAAGGTGGAGATTTGGGGTGGAAGGTGCCGAGACCGACAGGGTTCAGCGTCGCGCGTTGGAGAATGTGGAGAGCGGCCCAGCTGCAGCCTGCAGTGTACAAGGGGGGCGTGTGTGTGGGGAAGGGAACGTAGAGAAGGGGGGTGTACAATTGGTGGTGGTGGATGGGCGTGAAAGTAAAGCGATTGGTAGAGCGGAAAGGCACGGCGAGTACAAGCCTGTTTTGGGTTGGATTGGGTGATTGGGTGATTGGGATGGACGAGTCGAATTGGGGGAATAACGACGCTTGATATTCAAAAGGCAATGTAGCACCTTGAAATTGGCCAATACACCAGAAACGCTAAATGTATGTTATTCTTCTTTCGCCTCGGAAAAGACTTTACGTCTCGCCCCCCATCACCCGTCATCATGGACTATAACCCCGACCGCAAGCGGAGCCATCATCCCATCATCTCGCTCCGGCTCTTGCGCCGTCTGCCCGGGCCCTCCGGCTCAACCGTCCGGTGTTATCCGTCCCCTCCTCCCTTAGCCGTGCACGGGGCTTGGAGTCTCCCGAATCGCCCGGATGGTCTCCCTCATCCGCGGGTTAGCGTCGAAGCTAGCCTCAATGAGGTCCACGACCTCGTCCGCCGAAAAGTACAGGCTGAGCTCGCTGTCGCACCAGAGGTACTTGACCTCGTTGAGGTTGGACTGGAGCACCTCGCTCAGGTACTTGAGACGGAGCCACGTGGCCGCGTACTGCGCCGTTGTCGGAATTTCGTCTGCTGCTGCCGCTGCCCCCGTGCTCGCACTCGCGGTCCGCGACGGCAGAAAGAGGTCGTCGAGCTCCGTGACCTTTGCAATGAGCTTCGCGATCCCGTACGCGTCGTCCTGCCCGATGGACGACGCGTCCATGACATCCCCGATAATCTTGGACGACAGCCCATCCAGGAGCGACCCCACCGCCTGGTACCACACCGAGCGCGCGAGAATCGATTCCCATGTCACCGCCATGGATCTGACCCGCGCTAGTGCCGAGTCCACGCAACTGTCCAGTTCATCCTGCTGCATGAGACTTTGATCGCCTGTGCGTCTTGCGTTAGCCCAAAAGTCATACCGACTGCCGGCAGTCTGCAGGCAAGTGCTTTCAGCCCAGGCTAGAACGAAACGTACCTCCTAGCAGATCTCGCAGCACCGTTTTCTGCAACCCCAGCTCGTTAGTGTATGCGCGCGTCGCAAAGTTCTGCAGGCTCTTGATGTCGTTGTCTATGCGCAGCATGTTCTGGGCGCGTGTGGTGAGATCCCCGCGTGACTTCCACGTTGATGCCAAATCAGCCAGCTTCTCGGACAGATACATGGCATCGTTGTAGAGGAACCTGGACGTTGGTCAGCTTAGACATGATACCCCTAAAGGACACTTACATGTTCCCGCCAATGTCGAGTGAGTAGTAGTGCGGCGACACTGCTCGAAACATGGCTAATGCGAACGTCGGCAGACTGAAGAGGCCCGGGGCGGCGGCTGCCACTGGGCTGCTTTCGTATCTACGAATGTCAGAAGGATCACCGTGTTGACATGGGCTCGCAACATACTCGGGCTGTGTCAGAGCCGCGCCGTCTTCCAGGAGGGCCAGGATAAGCTCCAGCACCGGCTCCGGCATGGAGGAGATGTGGTACGTCTCCTTGAGAACCATCTCCCTGCTCTCGTCTGGTGCAGTAGACACCGTCTTGTGCTTCTTCGTCTGCGTCTTTGGTGCTTGGAGCTTCGGTTCTGGCTCCGTTTGCTCTGTCGCATCATCATCCCCCCAACCCCACGCGTCGGCTGCGTCGTCCTCGTCGTCTACCGTCTTTTCCTCAACCTGCGCGGTCTCCTCTTGTGCGGTCTCTGTAGTTTGCTCCTCATCGTTCCATCCCCAGGCATCGGCACCGTCGTCTTCCTCTTGTGTGTCGTCTTTGGCTTCCGGTTCCTCGTCGTCGTCAACTCCCCATTCAGCACCCCAGTCATCTTCTGCAACGGTACCGGCTACACCGTTCGCCGTCAACTCCTTGCCTTCGGACCGGGATACCATCTGCTTTTCCACCTTTTCTACTTGTTTTGTGGCACCGAGACCTACACTCCGTCAGCAAGATTTCGAATAGGCATACACTGGGTGACGGACCGTTGGACATTTGCACCCTGACCGAATCAAGGGCTGTTTCTCTGCACTTTGCAAGCCATATTGACGGCGCACTGCCAACCCATTCCTTGAGCTCCGTAAACCCAGTGAATCCGTTGTCTTCAAGAACCTCGCAAAAGCGCCGTGCAGATTCGATGACAGCCTGGAACCTCCCAAGATCCTTGAGATTTGAGGGTACTTCCGAGTCGAGCCAGACTGAAATGAGCCTCGGGACCAGGTCGCTCATCATGATGGGGCTGAAGAACATGAGGAGATCCGGTGTCAGTCGCTTGGCCAGGAACTCAACTACCTTTTGGAGATCCGTGAATAGCTCGTCGATTGATTTTCCAGCTTGACCATTTAATTCCACAACGTTCTGCGGTGGTTAGCAACTGGGCCGTCAGACTGTCTTTGGGACATACCTCAGTCTCGCGGATGGAAGGCAGCGATGAAGCTTGCGTGTCCATGCGCGGAAACACAATGGCCTTGTCGACATCGTGCCACAGCTTGGACATGCGATCTTCAACCTCTTTGTAAGCCTGGAGACCAATGATGGCTTCCGACAGCGTCATTTGCTCGTCTGGATTCTGTTAGCTTCCGGTGGGTTCAACCAGACGGGTACCAACTACCATCCAACTTGTTGTAGATTGCCAGGGAGCCGGCTTTGAGGTCCGTGTGAACAAGCGATGCCCAGACGTGGTCGAAGACGTCGTGGACGTGTGACTTTAGCTCGAAAGCCCTTACATCAAGGAGCCTCATAATCCGGCATGCCTTCTTGTTGACTGGGACGGCATCGAGTTCCGTCCAAGATTCTGCCCAGCGTTAGCCCCTCGCCCTGATGCCGATGCCATCATTCGGTCCTTACTCTCCAGCCACCGCAGCGAATCGATGATGCGCCGCTCGTTCATCGCTTGCTCGACCTCCCCCAAAAGCTCGTTGACGTGCTGGATACCCCTGAGGGCGTCGTGCAGCTGGTTCGTGTAAAGCACCTCCTTCTCAAGAAACTGAATGTGGTCCTCCGCATCTTGTATAGCCTTTCCCGAAACCTGCGGCGCTTCCGATTGTCGGACGATATCGTCGGCCAGCCTCTTGGATCGCAAGATGTCTTCCTGTAGCGTTTTCGCATTGTGCACCCACGAGCTGACGTCGCCCTTGGTCTCTTCGTTTATTGTGTGGATTTCAGACTGCGCATGCATCAGTAAGTGGCTGTCATTGCTCGCTGTGAGCCTCCCATTACCTCCAAATCACCCTTGGCTCGTTCCAGCGCATCAATCGCCGGCGACAAATCCGAAGAGGACATTGACAGCGATGACACCTGCTCGTCGGGGAAGCGCCCCTCGAGCGCAAAGGCAACTACGGCCTCTCCGAGCTGCGCAGAAGCATTCTGATCTGTTTCGACGGCCATCGTCTCGTTTCGCTGTCGTGCGCGGGTCACGCGTGTGGCTCCGTGAAGCTCTCGATATCGCGGGGCCGCTTCGGTCGGGGCGTCAGGTATCCGGGCAGGTCGCAGGCAGGAAATGGAACGCGGTAGATCGAGGTTTGGGAAGGTTCGCCTAGAGTTCAGAGACGTGATTCTGCAAATATGTAGCCAAGAAACGGGCGACAGGAGGGCTTTGCCTCGTCTTCGAAGCGATGCCGCATAAAACCGGGCGATGAGCTACGGGCAATTGTGACACTGGATTGCATAGCTGTCCCGAAAGCACCCACGTCACAATTCCATGTCGCTCCCCAGTACGTACCTCGCGCCTGATCCGACCTCGTGCCGAGCGGTTGGCGCTTGGCTCAGCTTGCTCTCCCGCGGCAAGGGGCCAATCGGGAGACACCACCCCGCCGATGACTTTGCGAAAATCAAAAAATAAAGATAAACTCCACTAGTCCCTTGCCCTGGACTTTTGGAGGGGCAGATGGACCAGTGCGCTTCATTGTACGGCCAGCGACATCTCTCACGTTCTCGTGCCCCGCGACGGACTGGTAACTCGCAACCTAAAAGAAAAGCGCGCCAACGGGAAACCAAAGCTCAACTATAAGGTATATACCAACCCCTGAGGACGCCTGTGAGCCTCAACATCAGCTCGTCCCCCAGTGCCCGTCGATACCCCGCCATCCTTGTGTCAGCATCTCTCGTGGCGGCGGTTAGGTAACCGCTACATCGTTCCCTATCACGGGCTGGCCAATACGCTTCGGGAAGCCTCATTGGTCTTCTTCATCTCTGTCCATTAGGCTGGCAAAGCCGGTTTCTGTACGGTAAGCTGCTGCGCCTTTTTCTTCCGTCCGCCCTACTCGTTCTTTCTTGTCAAGCCTTTTTGGCTGAAGTGGTTTCCCCCGATTGGCCCCTTGTCATTCTACTTCTCTTCGTCGCCTGTCAACTGGTTGTATGCCATGGCGCATTGCGCTGCACCGTTCCGAGGCTGCAAGCTTCACGCGACTGTCTGAGGGCATCCTTCCCGTGTCTGACACGTCGACATGTTGAAGATTGGAGCCAGTCAAGTGGCGCTTGCCGTGGCCGTTGCGCTTCTGGCGGCTTGTCTTGTTCCCCATCATGGACACATCTTATCCAACAGAGCTGGGTATGTCTCTTCTCGGACCGGATGTCCTGGTGTTCACGAACGTATGGCCGTTTGTCATACGAACTACTGCATCTATCCGCTGTCTGATTATCTTCCCCTCCCGTTTCCAACAGCTAGTTCCTGTTTTCCGGTGAAGAGCTTCATCAGGAGACTCGTACAACCCTGCTTCAGCTGCGTTTGTTGTCTCCTTACCCAAGGGCCATGAAACTATTTGCCCATGACTCTTTGAGCCCCTGTGCTCTTGTGCCCCTGCCCATGCCTCTATAAGAACCTCCCACAACTACATGGGACACCAAGTTGACCATCTTGTCAGATCATTCCAAAGCTTGTTCAAAGCAAAGCCACACACCATGTCGCCTGAGGAGCAACCGAAGCCGCAGCCGCGGTTTCGCAAGGTCCAGAGCTTCAAGACGGACTACGCCCCGTGCCAAATCAGCCAGTATGTCTCGGAGAGGAGCGGCATGCAGGTGATTGTGGCCGATCGCAAGGGCCCCAAGACTAACGGCTACTTCACTCTCGCAACCGAGATCTTTGACGACTCGGGCGCCCCTCACACTCTCGAGCATCTGGTGTTCATGGGTTCCAAGAACTACCGCTACAAAGGACTCCTCGACAAGCTGGCCTCCCGAGCCTACTCTGGGACGAATGCCTGGACTGCGACGGATCACACCGCGTACACGCTGGAGAGCGCTGGCTGGGAGGGCTTCTCTCAGATCCTGCCAGTGTATCTCGAGCACGTCATCGTGCCCGTCATCACGGACGAGGCATGCATCACCGAGGTGCACCACATCGACGGCGAGGGCAACGATGCGGGTGTTGTCTACTCAGAAATGCAGGCCGTCCAGTTCAAGAGCGCCGAAATCATGGATCTTCGTGCGCGCCGAATGCTGTACCCGGAGAACGTGGGCTTCCGCTACGAGACCGGAGGCATGACGGAGGCTCTCCGGGTTCTGACCCCTGACCGCATCCGCCAGTTCCACCGTGACATGTATCAGCCCCGCAACCTCGCCGTGGTCATCATTGGCGAAGCGGACCACAGCGAGCTGCTGCAGATCCTAGATGAATTCGAGGAGAGCATCAAGGACGACCTTCCGCCGCTGGATTCCCCTTTCAAGAGGTAGCTCAACCTCCCACACCTAACAAACCATGCTGACGTGAGTGTGCAGACCTTGGATCGACTCAGCACAGCCCCCGGCGCTCAAGGAGACCATCATCACCACAGCCGAGTTTCCTGAAGAGGACGAATCCGTCGGCGAGATCACTGTGGCTTTCTACGGCCCCAACTGCACCAACACCATCGAGACGTCTGCGCTCAACGTCCTGCTGACCTATCTTTGCGGCTCCTCTGTGTCGATTCTCGAGAACGTCATTGTCGAAAAGGAGGAGCTCGCCAGCTCCGTATCCTACTGGTGGGACGCCAGGCCCAACTCTGTGATCTGGTTCCAGCCGACTGGCGTCGAGACGGACAAGCTTGAATTCGTCGAGAAGAGGCTCGTCGACCTGCTCAAGGAAGTGGCATCGAAGCCTTTGGACATGGCATACCTGACCTCATGCATCCACCGCGAACGCCTCCAGGTCAAGTTCCAGGCCGAGGAGTCTGAGGGCTTCTACTCCAACAACATCATCACGGACTACCTCTTTGGCAAGCGTGACGGCTCGACGCTCAAGGACTTGCAGTCCTTGTCCGAGTACGAGGAGCTCGAGAAGTGGACCGACGCCCAATGGAGGGACTTTTTGCGCAAGTGGTTGTCCGATGCCCCCCACGTCTCCATCCTCGGCAAGCCGTCCCACGAGCTCGCAAAGAAGCAAAAGGCCGACGAGGAAGCGAGACTCGCAAAGAGAAAGGAGGAGCTTGGCGCCGAGGGTCTGGCCGACCTCAAGAAGCGCCTCGAGGCTGCCAAGGCCAAGAACGATGAGCCCATCCCGGCCTCCGTGATCGATCAGTGGGCTGTCCCCGGCACCGAGTCGATCCACTTCATCGAGTCTGACACGGCGAGGTCTGGAAAGGCCAAGAGCCTCGGCCTCGTCGACAACGCGGCGCAAAAGGTCATTGACGGCGCCAAGCAAGGGAAAGACCCCCTCTTCATCCAGTTCGAGAGCGTGCCGACCAACTTTGTGCACCTGACGGTCTATCTCGGTACCTCACAGGTACCGATCGAGCTGAAGCCGCTGCTGCCCATCTTCAACGACAACTTCTTCAACACTCCCATCATGCGCGATGGAGAGAAGGTCGGCTTCGAACAGGTCGTCATGGAGCTGGAGCAGGACACCATTAGCTACGGTCTGCGCTCTACAAGAGACTACGGCGACCCCGACGGCGTCATGATCCAATTCCAAATCGAGCCCACAAAGTACTCCACCGTCATCAACTGGATCCGCACCATGATGTTCGACAGCATCTTCGACATCCAGCGCCTCAAGGCGGGCGTCCAGAAGCACCTGGCCGACATCCCCGAGCTGAAGCGTGACGGCAGGTCCATGGCGTCTGAGATCGACATGTCGATCCACATGAAGAAGGAGTCCTACTCGGTCGCCAAGCGCGCACTCGTCAGAGCAATCTACTTGCGCCGCCTCAAGAAGCTCATCGCCTCCGACTCGGAAAAGGTCCTCTCCTGGTTCGAGCAGCTGCGCAAGTCCCTCTTCACCTCGAACAACGTGCGCATCCTCGTCACCGCCGACGTCGCCCGCCTGCCCGAGCCCGTGGCCGCCTGGGACATCCTCAGCACCCAGCTCGAGGGCTCCGACGAGCTGCTCCCCATCGTCAAGCCGCACACCCTGCTCACAAAGGAGGGCCAGAACCCGGGCACCGCCGGCGCCACCATCGTGCCCATGACCACGGCCGAGAGCTCCTACGGCGTCAGCACGGCCAAGGGCATCACCTCCTTCGACGACCCCCGCCTCCCGGCCATCATGGTGGCCATCGGCTACCTCGAGACCACCGAGGGCCCCCTCTGGAACTCGGTCCGCGGGCAGGGGCTGGCGTACGGCTCGTACTTTGGCCGCGAGCTCGACGCGGGCGTGATCCAGTACAAGGTGTACCGCTCGCCGGACGCCAGCAAGGCCTTTTCCGTGTCGCGCGAGACGATCCGCAAGATCGCCGAGGGCGAGGTCGAGATCGACCGCCACCTCAAGGAGGGCGCCATCAGCCAGGTCGTCGTGCAGTTCGCCGACGAACAGTCGACCATGGCGTCGTCGGCGGCGCAGAACTTCATGCTCGGCGTCGTGCGCAGCCTGCCGCTCGACTGGCACAAGAAGGTCATGAGGGACGTCCGGGACGTGACGGACGAGCAGATCAAGACGGTGCTCAGGGAGCTTGTCATGCCTGTTTTCGAGCCGGGCAAGAGTAACGTTGTCATCACCTGTGCTCCGATCTTGCAAGAGGTGCGTTTTGTTTCCCACCCCCAGCTTCACAACAGAGATTTACTGACATGTGGCTACAGAACATTGAAAAGGCGTTCAAGGAGATGGGGTACAAGACGGACGTCCAGCAACTCGCCTACTTCCACGACGACTACGGCCTCAAGGGCGACGAGGACGAGGAGGAGCTCGAGGAAGACGAGGATGACGAGTCTGACGATGACGAAGAGGATGATAGCGAGGGCGAATACAGCGATGAAGAGTCGGATTAAGACGGTGGGCAGAGAAAGACCATGTTAGAAGAAGACTAGCATCGATAGAGCTGGCAGCCACAGCACCTTTCGCTTCTGGGCTAGAATATCAGAGACGTCTACTAAAGACATAGTAAGAAGTCTCAATCCATGTTTGCGAATTTGGTAATAGACCGGGCTCCTTGTCCAAAGGTGTCATCCGGGGACCGTCTCTCGACACGGGATGATCTAGTGAAGCTTCGCGCGTGCTCTGGTAGCCCTTTCAGAATAGTCCCTGTGGATCTTCACGAAGTTGGATGGAGCTAATCTAGCTGTGCCTCTCTTTACAGACGTCTTGGAAGTTTTGATCTTGTCGTCTTTTCTCCTTGCTAAAAACGCAGCTGGGACGGTACAGAGGCACGAGCATAGCCGTCGACAATCCCCAATGACAACACCCATGGAGTCTTGCAGAGCCTATTCGAATTCCAATGTTTCTTTATGCTTTAGTCAGAGCAGCACAGGTTTGCAGTCCATGGAATAGAAACGACTCAATTCGCAAAAAAGTGCTACCAAAAACGTCATTATCCGTTCCCAGCAGAGGCAAGAGTGTGGAAAGCTCCTAGTCCTCTGCCAGGAACCCCAGAAAACACCCAAAACACCAATCTTGAACTTTGGAAAAAGGAAACCATGAAGAATGTACATCTCAGAGTCCGACTTCCGAGTTGAATCCCCTTGTGAAATAGAAAAAGAGCGGTACATGAAATGCGTTATACACTTTCTAAACCCTAGTGACCCCAATCCTTGCTGACGGGAACGTGAAGATTACGCTTTCTGGATATCACTTTCTAAAAACGCTCTCTCTGTTTGCCCCTACTTTGAAAAAATGTTAGACATCCTCTCTGTCTCTGTCTCTTTCTCATTTATCTTCATCCACCACCTCAATCCACATCGTCATCATTCTCAGGCTGGTCCCTAAACGACGGCGAAGACGGGCTATGCTTCCTCAACAACCCGCTGGCCCCGCTCCGTCCCCACCCGCCGTTGGTGACCAGGTTCAGCGCGCGGTGCTCCGCCGCCGCGGGATCCTCCATGTCGAGGTCGCTGTCGTCGAGGTCGTCCTCGAGCGCCCGCCCGCGCGGGCTGAGCTTCCGCATCGGCATCGACTCCTGGAACCCATCGGCGTACAGGTTCGGGTCGCGGCCCAGGACCCGGTCGGCCTTGGAGGGCGTCTTACGCGATCCGCCGTTGGAGGGAGGGGGAGGGGGAGGAGGCGAGGTGAGGTAGTGTCGGCCCGCGCCGTCGGGCTTGGTAGGCGGCGCCTCGCGCATGAACGTCGGGGGCTCGTCGGTGCCCCATCCCGCGTTGATCTCGCGCGCGCGCTGCTCCTGGCGTTCCCTCGCGAGGCGCTCGCGGGCGGCCAGCCAGTTGGGGCTGGCTTCCCATGCCCAGCCGTCGCCGGTGGTGTTGCAGACGGGGACGAACCACAGCAGGGGCTTGGGGCCAAAGAGGTGCAGCAGGTTCCGCTTCGCGCCGAGGTCGAACGCGTTGGGGAGCTTCTCGGAGTCCTGCTCGTCGAGGTACTCTTCGTAGCGCTTCTTCGCGCGCTCGCGCTCCATCTCCTCGTACGACTGGTGCGTGGCGCCCATCGGCCTCGAGGAGCCACCGCCAACCCCGCGGTATTCTTCGCCTTCTTCGGGTCGCGTGATGCCCGGGAGGGCGTTTGCGTGGATGTCGAGGAGCTGCTGGCCGTAGGCGGGCAGCTGGATGCCCTCGCCGTTGTGCTGGGCGACGAACTGGTGCTTCATCTGCTTCTTCAGCGGCGAGAGGTACCGCGTCTTCTCCAGGCACTCGATCGTCGTCTGGCCCCTGCTCGCGAGCAAGATGTGCCACCCCGTGAAGGCGCCCACGACGATGCCGATGATGCCGGCGATGACGCTGAGGATCACGTAGTTGATGGGCATCAGCGTCTCGACGTACGTCGTGTTGTTGATGACCTCCATGTACACCCAGCTGCCGGAGACGAAGAAGCTGTAGAAGCAGAAGAGCGTCGTGTAGATGAGGAACAGCAGAAAGGCCTTGTGGTTCTTGAGGCCGATGCAGGTCGCCAGCCAGGGGCAGTGGTGATCCATTTTCAGGACGCAGCGGCGGCAGGTCGAGCAGTGGTGGGCGCGGTCCGGTTTTCTCGCCTGGCACTTCTTGCAGAATCGGAGCTCGCCGTTGGACTTTACGGTGAAGGAGGTGGCGGCGGGAGGCGCCTCGGTCGGTAGCGTGCTGTAGCCATTATCGTTTGTCGTGCTGCCGGGGCTCGTGAAGACGGCGGTGGTGTAGGACCAGTTGAGCAGGCCGTAGAGGAGAAGGGCGCCTGCGGAAGACGCGGATCCTATGCATCGTCAGAAAGCGGCGGGCGGGCATGCATCAGCGGACTACTTACCGAGCCACGAGGCTTTGGAGGGCAGGGACCCGATGGTGACATCCACCCAGACGGCCCAGGTGGTCAAGCCATAGACGAAAAGCAGAGGGATGTAGGTCGCGAAAGTGCAGCAGCAGCGTTCAAGCTTTCGCGCCCAGCGGCGAGACATGATTTCGGAGGAGGGGATTGTAGACAAGCGAGATCCATCCATTCACTCGAAAGGGAAAAGAGAAAGAGAGAAAGACGGCAGCTAAGAAGGGGGAAGGACCATGGCGGTCAGGGACGGAAGAATGGATGCTGATCGATGGCCACGAAGAAGAAAAAAGGGCCCGCGAAATGGTAAACTGCTGCGTTGGCTCAGCTCAACAAGCCCGGGTTTGTGATACGGATAGTCAGGGGGAGGTTAGAGGCACGAGCAGGGGACCTGGGTGGATAAACTGCCCTGTGGATGCGTGGAATGCAGGGCAACCTGCTGGCGGCGCCCCGTGGCATCCAGCTGTGAGCGTCCCCTCCCGCTGCCGTCTTACGCAGGGAGCTGAGGCTGAGCCGGGCTGGCCCCACTCCGCCCTGCGGCAGCCTGTGGCGGTGTTTTAGTCCCCGTCACTGGCCCCAGTTCCCGCCCGTGTTCCGCAGAAGACAGTGGGCCGTTTGCTTGGTCCGCGCCGACCTGCATATCGAAATGCTTCCGAGAAGCCTCACTTTCGGTCGAATGACTCTGATGACTTGGTATTCGCCAACTATCTACCTAATGTGAATCAAATGCCGGCCAACTTGTCCTTTTGAATGAGTAAATCCGGCCGAACGCCCCGTACCCGAGGTTCCACCATAACGCCGGTCCAACCTGACCCTGAGAAACATAGGCCTGGATAGATGCCACAGATCGTGGCGATCAACGAATATTTACCAAACTCCCAACGTCCTTACAAAGCTGCAGTTAATCGTCGCGACCTTCAACGACCATTCCCATGGCGTTCGGAACACCAACGACGACCTTGCCTCTGGGGACCCGGACATCCTTGACCTTCATGCATCCAAAGACGTTGATCTCGCGAATGTTGGGGCAGCTTCGGAAGATGCGTCCAAGCACGAAATCATCCACCTCCTCGATGAAGCTGATCTCGAGCTTGACGAGGTTGCGGTACTGGTCCTCCTCAGAGAAGGCGTCCTCGAACGCCTCTCGCTTGATGTGACAACAAGCGTGGATGTTGAGATTCTTCAGCTTCTTGCCGGAATGCTTCATGAGGGCACGGAATCCGTCGGAGCAGAGACCAATGCCGTCTTCGTTCTCGCGGGGCTTGGTCGAGTCGCGGTAGCGGCACTTTTGGAGGTCAACGATCTCGATGCCGGGGTTCTCCCAGTTGTTGAAGAGGTCCGCAAATCCCTCGTCCGTCATGTGCTCGCTGTCGGTGATGCGGAACTTTTTGAGAGAACGGCAGGTGTCTCTGATCGCGCTCAACACCTCGTCGTTGGCCGTGGGCATCTTCTTCAAGGAGAGCGTCTCCAGGTCCTTGCCTACACCGTGGATCATATGGGCCAGGCTCTTGGAGGTGATGTCGTGCTGCAGGTGAAGGCCCAGGTGCTTCAGAGATTTGATGTCGGCGATTGACTTGACGCCGACGTTGGTGACCTTTTGGTTGTGGTAGACCTTGAGGCGATTGAGGTTGGGACAAGTCTCGGGAAGGAGAGCAAGCAGCTCGTCGCCAACGTGCTTGTCCGTGTAGTAGACCTGGATGGCTTCCAGATGAGCACCCTTCTGCTGGACGAACTTGGTCCAGCTCTCGTCGCTGAGGAGGTTGGCGCCGTGCAGGATAAAGTGCGTAAGCTTGATGTCGCGACTCAGAAGGTAGTCCATGACCTCGTCCTTGAACTGAATAGAGTTGCGAGCCTTGAATCTCTTGAGGTTGGGTGCCGTCTGGAAGATGCTCTCGAACTCGTTCGAGCCCAGCTTGGCGCCGTCGTAGATGTGGAGGACCGTGGTCGACGGCTGCACAAACAGGGGCAGCGTCACAGGGCTGAGCAGTCGACGCTTGGAGAAGAGTCGCGCAATCTTGTCCACCACCTGGTCCGGCAAATCGCCCAAGCTGTCGGCGAGGTCGACATTCTTGGCCAGAGTCTCGATGCAGAGAGTGGTCAGGTTCTTGGCACCAGTCTGATAGGTGCCGTCGAGGATGTTGCTCTGCATCTTGCGGCGCTTGCCCTGGCCACCGGCGGGTTTCTTGGGCTTCTGCTTGCCCTTGCCCTTCTTGGCAGCCTCGTCCTTGCTGCACTGCGCGCAAAGTAGACCGCCCTCGGGGCCACTCAGCGAGTAGGCGGTGACGGTGAAGCGCTTCTTGCAGATGGCGCAGTTATCCATCTGGCCTGGCAAGGGTTGGGCCATCTGCTCGAATAGGGCGCGTGCTATGTCGTCCTCGTCCTCTGAATCCATGCCGTCCCGGTGCTTGCGCTTCTTAAACGCTTTGGAGGCCTTGATTTTGGCGATGGCCATCTGCTCCTTCTTCTGGCGCTTCGCCTTCTCAGCCGCCGTCTCATTGCGGCCGGACTGGGCAGCCCCGGCAGAGGCTGTTGAAGGGCCGGCCTCGGTCTCCTCATCATCATCTCCGTTGGCATTGTCTGCTTGATTCTGGGCAGCAGCAGCAGCACGCCGCTGGTCTGCATCCCGGCGAATCTGGTTTGCAGAGATGTTGTGGGCCTTGAAAGCACATTGTCAGTTTGCACAGATGGTCAGTTTAGTCGAGATTCTTACAGCAAGGTAGTCGGTCAAAGCCGATTGTCTCGAGTCGTGTCAGTGATGAGATGCGCATGGAGAGTGGGAAAACTCACGGTCCAGAGATGTGGCGGGTGATACGGACTGTGCCTGCACCATCATCCTGAGGAGCTGCTTGACCCTGCTGGGGAGTCTGGTTCTGGCCTTGCGCAGCCTGGGCAGCCTGAGCTTGGGATCGACGAGACGGTCTCGCCATTTTGGTGATGGATACTTCCAGTCTCTGTGTGCAGCGTTGGATGGGTTGATACTGACGAGTTTGGTCGAAGCCTTTTTTTTTTTTTTCCGAACTGCAGTTGGGATGATGTTCAACCCTTGGGTGTTGCTGCGAGCTGTGATGGAGAAATCCCTTTCGAATAGGTGTGGCAAAGTTGTCTGGATTACAGACTAGCCAAGGGGTAGGAACGATAGACACCACCGGCTGTTCGATGGGTTGGAAATAGGCTCAAGTCCAGACCTTTGGTTGGAGAGAAAGGCAGACGACAACCCGCAGAAATCACACTTGTCGACAATGCCGTGATGCGCTGGTTCGGGGGCAAATTGAAAGGAGGCGACAAAGAAGTAGTGTCTTCTGGAGTCCTCTTGTTCCTGGATCGATACGCCCAGACCAGGTGTTGGAGGGTGAAGTTTGCGGCACACTGTACTGGTGATTGCCAATCTCTCGCGATCAGTGGGTGGAATCAAGGGTGTTGGTGAGGATGCACCGTGTGAAAGCCGCAAGTGACAGCCCAGGGGACTTAAACAGGCACGAGAGGTAGGCAGCTGCAGGGGTTTAATTGAAGTGGACCCACAACAGTCCCGTCGTGGGGTACGCAGCACCTAGGCGAACTCGAATGGAAGGAGCCACAGAGCCACCGTACCGGAGTCGTCGGGGAGCAGATCGATCGCCCAAGTCGAATCGTCACACTGGAGCCCCAGGGACATGGAGATCGGCCATCTGCCTCTGCATCCAACGCTGCCATTTCGGTCTTGCTATGTGTTCCCTGGCAGATGAAACTATTTCTGAGGATGGTTTGTATGCCAAGTGGTAGGTACTGGTAGAAATCGCAGCCAGTCCAGGGGCCAGGTGCCTTGATAAGCTAGTTTGAACCATCAAGGAACGTGTGCAGCATCTCGACAGAACATCATGTTCACGAATCACACCAGTGACCCCAGCCAAGCTAACAAAAAAAACTTCCCATTTCCAGACTGGCTTCAGGCTTTAGGCAGTCGCCCCTGCGTCTGGGCGCCTTCTCATCCCTGACAAAGCGGCCACGTGACTTCGTGTACAGAGCCCGCCATTGAAGGGCGCGTCCCTGATCTCCCCCTCCTTCCCCGTCTCTCTTGTCTGAGGTGAGGCGGTCCTTCTCAGCTTTGCCTGACCGAAAAGGAGTTCGCCAGTGGCAAGTCCAAATTCTTTTTTCCCTTGGCCCTCTCCATCACCGCTTGCCTCTTTTTTTCCCTTTTTCACATCACCAACCGTCAGACTGTGTGGCCTCTACCCCAGGGCAGTCTACAATTCCAATTCGTCCCTTTCCCCTCCCTCACCAAAAGGTACCGAGATACCCCAATCATCGACCCCTTTGGTGCACAGTCTCCAAGCTTCTTCGGCGATAAGCTGAGACTGTTCGCCACCACTTGCCGAGCTTTGTCCCGGCCATCCCAACTTTCTTCTCACGTCAACCGTCGCCAAACTTTCACCTCTGTGTGAAAAAAACCGACAGACTTCCATTTTTCCGTTCTCAAAATTGAGGTCGCAAGTGCACACAATTTACCTTGCTGCACGGAAAGGTCATCATCACCGTCACCATGACTGGCCGCCGTGGTCGCCCTTCTCTCGCTCAGAAGGAGAGTATGGCTTCCACTCGAAGCAGTAAGTCACTGATTTAATTCTATGTCTCGGCCTGCACATTCGGCATGAGATCGTGGATTGTATGCGCAACATGAAATTGATCACTAACACATCTACAGACTCTCCTGACCCTCTTTCTGTTGCTGGTACCGGCCGTCTCACTAGATCTGCATCGAGCCGGAACCTTGCAGCTGCGGCTCAACCTGTGACTTCAGCCCCTCCGATTGCCAAGAGAGGTCGAGGTCGACCCAGCAGAGCCTCCCTGGCCAACGACTCGGCTTCCTCAACTGCATCTGCGTCTGCTGCTGCATCTGCCGACCTCACCTCTGCCAGTGAAGCCTCCACCCCTGCTACCAGCAATGTCGCTACACCCGCTCCCTCCGTCTCTGGGTCTGGCTATGTCCCTCTTGTGCTGCCTGCCGCTTTGAGAAACCCCAGGATTGAAGCCTCTCAGTCTGCATCCAAGATCGAGGTTCAGCTTCCCACTTCTGCTGCACTCAACGAGCGTGCTCTGCGCCACAGCCAGTATTCCATGCAGCCAGCCAAGCGCAAGGTTGGCGGTGGTTACTACGACGACGATGATGAAGAGGATGAGGAGCCATCTGATAACGACCGCGATGCTTTGGTTGCTCGCCGCCTCCAGAAGGAAGAAAACAAGAAATCAACTGCCTCTACCCGCCTATCCGATGCCGCCCTTGCTCGACGTCTCCAGGAAGAGGAGTACGAGATGGATGAGTCTGATGTCCCCCTTGCCACTGGTCGCGGCCGTCGTGCGACTGCTATCGCTGCCAAGTCCACGGTAAAGGACAGCGACGCCGACTCCGAAGACGTTCCGCTTGTTTCTCGATCCAAGCTTGGTGGTCGGGGCCGAGGTAGACCCCCCAAGAAGCAAAAGGTTGTGGTCCCTGAGTCGGACGATGAGGATGAACCCGCAGATTCCACGGACGACGAGCTTAGCGATCTCTCGGACAACTTTTCTGAGCTGGAGGATGATGATAGCAACAAGATCCCCAAGAAGGCAAAGGCAAAGGGCAAGGCTAAGCAGCCAGTCAGACGGACTAGAGCTACCGCTTCGACACTGCCTCCAGCCTCTGAGGGACTTCCTGAAGACGATGACGATGCTTTGTCGAGCCTCGATAGCGGCGACTTTGACAGCTCGGAATCTGACGAGGCCGATAGTGACGGCGGTCTTCAGAGCGCCGTGGCCGCACAGTCCCGTGGTCGCCGCGCCTATCAACGTGGCTCCAAGCGCCGCGGCATGCTTGAACGCGCCAGGTTGGAGAACAACCATCCTGAGCTCCTCACCATGTGGCAGGACTTGGAGGCGTCTCCCGCCCTCAGGCCCGACAAGATTGCTCAGCCGCAGCAGATCTCGCGTCAGCTCAAGCCCTTCCAGCTCGAGGGCGTCTCTTGGATGATTGAGATGGAAAAGACCGACTACAAAGGCGGCCTGTTGGGTGACGAGATGGGTCTCGGCAAGACCATCCAGGCGGTATCCCTCATCATGTCCGACTATCCCCAGAAGAAGCCCTCCCTTGTCTTGGTCCCTCCCGTCGCTCTGATGCAGTGGAAGAGCGAGATTGAGTCTTACACGGACGGCACCCTCAAGGTCTTTGTCTACCACGGTACTATGAAGAACGCCAAGAACATGACCCTGAAGGAGCTCAAGAAGTACAATGTCATCATGATGTCGTACAACAGTCTGGAGTCCATGTACCGCAAGCAGGAGAAAGGATTCACCCGCGCAGACGGCGTACACAAGGAGAAGAGCTTGATCCACCAGGTCGACTTCCACCGCATCATCCTCGACGAGGCCCACAGCATCAAAACCCGTACTACCATGACGGCGAAGGCTTGCTTTGCTCTGAAGACCTCGTACCGATGGTGCCTTACGGGAACGCCGCTGCAGAACCGCATTGGCGAGTTCTTCTCCCTGATCCGCTTCCTTCAAGTTGCGCCTTTCGCGTCGTACTTGTGCAAGCAGTGCCCCTGTGCCGGCCTGGATTGGAACCTCGACGACGATCACCGTTGCCACTCGTGCGGACACGCCGGCATGCAGCACGTGTCTGTATTCAACCAGGAGCTCCTCAACCCTATTCAGAAGTTTGGCAACTTTGGACCGGGCCGCGAAGCCTTCCAGAAGCTCCGCTTGATGACCGATCGCATTATGCTTCGTCGTCTGAAGAAGGACCACACCAACTCCATGGAACTCCCCGTCAAGGAGATCTACGTTGACCGCCAGTTCTTTGGTGAAGCGGAGAATGATTTCGCCAACAGCATCATGACAAACGGCCAGCGCAAGTTCGAGACGTACGTCGCTCAGGGTGTCTTGCTCAACAACTACGCCAACATCTTCGGTCTCATCATGCAGATGCGCCAGGTGGCCGATCACCCCGATCTGATCCTTCGCAAGCATGGAGAGGGCGGTCAGAACACACTCATGTGTGGCGTTTGCGATGAGCCGGCCGAGGATGCCATCAGGAGCCGCTGCAAGCACGACTTTTGCCGCGCCTGTGCTAGAAGCTACCTGTTGTCTTCCGCTGAGCCTGACTGCCCCCGCTGCCACATTGCGCTGGCCATCGACCTGGAGCAGCCCGAGATTGAGCAGAATGAGGCCGATGTCAAGAAGTCTTCGATTATCAATCGAATCAAGATGGAAGAATGGACTTCTTCCTCCAAGATTGAGCTTCTCGTCCACGAGCTTCACAAGCTTCGATCAGATAATGCTTCGCACAAGTCCATTATCTTTTCGCAGTTCTCGTCCATGCTGCAGCTCATCGAGTGGCGTCTTCGTCGCGCCGGTATCACCACCGTCATGCTTGACGGCAGCATGAGCCCCGCGCAGCGCCAAGCCTCCATCGACCACTTCATGACCAAGACGGAGTGCGAGTGCTTCCTCGTCTCTCTCAAGGCCGGTGGTGTCGCGCTCAACCTCACCGAGGCGTCTCGCGTCTTCATCGTTGACCCGTAAGTTGCATGTCTCAATACTCACTATCAAGATCCCAGCTAACATGACATGTAGTTGGTGGAACCCTGCCGCCGAGTGGCAGTCTGCCGATCGTTGCCACCGCATTGGTCAAACCCGCCCCTGCACCATCACCCGTCTCTGCATCGAGGACTCGGTCGAGAGCCGCATGGTGCTGATTCAGGAGAAGAAGACCAACATGATCAACTCCACCGTCAACGCGGACGACAAGGCCATGGAGTCTCTGAGCCCCGAGGACATGCAGTTCCTGTTCCGTGGTTCCTAGACTTTTGGGTCGTCTGCAAACTTTCTTTCATCATTGTGTTTTCCCGCAAAAAGTGGATTTCTGTGGTTTTCCCCAGGGCGGCGTTGAGGACAAGGCAGGGCAGACGGAAAGGACAAGGACATTGGGACTGTAGTACCCAGCCCCCATCATCGGAGTCGGGCGTGCGTCGTTCTCTTCTTCCTATACCCCTTTTCGATTTGCAAATATGGCATGGTTCACGGGTGGAAGACCTTGTGTGTATGAGTGTGGCCCATTTCGTTAGGTAGAGATACTCTCAGCGTTCAGCTGGGTGGTTCTTTGTTTCTCCATCTGGACAATAGATTCAGAAATTAGGTATCAGCAAATATTGATACGCAATGCCAGTGACTGTGAGGAGCCCATATAGTGCCGTATAATGGATTGGCCGGTCAGCAACGTCAGCGTCCATGGGACCATGATCCGCAAGCTCCGCACGTGGGCGCTGGGTTATGTAGGGTCGCTTATGTACCAGGATACGGAGTATTCAAATCCCAGAACGATATCCCGAATGGTCACCAAACCCCCCACAAGCTTCAGGTGGATGAAATGGTTCGTTCTGGGAAAGTCTATCCTGTACCACAGTTCGCGATGCCAAGCGGCCAATATATACGTAACACAACCGCCGTTCCGTTCCAACGCGCCAGTGCCATTCTTAGTACGGGGGAAAAACGAAACACGCGGTTTGCCGTAAGAGGAACGCTGTATTGGGAATCTAGGATGCGGAATTTGCTTGATTGGGTACCGCGCGGTCTCTAGTTGACGGGACTTGCGAGTCAGTCGATGACATGGGGGGAATTTTTGTGTGTCCGGACTCGGTACCCGTCCGGGGTGCGTCCCACTCGTGGAATCGTGCTGACGATGCTGGTACGGCTCTCCCATCGTCACAGATAGGGTCCTTGGATTCTCACAGCTTGTTCAGAGGGAAGAGTGGTGTGGTTCAACGCCCAGGTTGACGCTGGGCGTGGATTATGTACTATACTAATTATGTACGTGAATAGTCTTGACGATATCTCCTTTAGCCGCAATGGCTTGGGGATATCCCTTGATGGTATCCTTTTTGATGATGATGATGATGATGATGATGATGATGCTTCCCCTAAAACTCCAGAAGCCCGCTTCCCTGCCCTTCATAACATGGTCATGACATTTAATTTTCTTTCGTGTATACGGCATGCCGTCGCCCTCCTTACTCCTCGAGCGACGCGGCGTACTCGATATCCTGCTGGGCCCAAGCCGTCAGGCGCGCAGCGAGGTCCTCGTCCGAGATGTCCTCCTCTCTCTCCTTGATGCCGAAGCCGTCGGTGCTGCAGGCACCCGTACGGCGGAGGTAGTACAAGTGGGCGTCGACGTCAAGGCCAAAGGTGCCGCCGTTGCACTTTGTGTTGGCGGCGCCCTCGCAGACCTTGATATCGGCGACGGCGTAGTCGACCGTGGTGGCGTTGCCGGTGGACAGCCAGTACTCGGGGCTAGTGTGGCGGTAGCCGAAGAGGATGGGGGGCAGGCGGGGGACGGGGTCGTCGACGTGGGTGACACGGTACTCGGCGCCGGTCTGGGCAGTGACGAAGTTGGTGAAGGCGGCGTTGCCGACGCGGGGGCTGCCGTAGGTGTAGATGTCGACGGGGTAACCGTCGCGGCGGAGGTCCGCGGCGGCGATGGTGACGACAGCGCCACCGAGGGAGTGGCCGGTGCCGACGATGGTGTAGCTGGGGTTGGCGGCCTTTGCGGACTTGACGGAGGCCAGGAGGGAGTCCTTGATCTCGTCCCAGCCGTTGGCGAAGCCGGTGTGGACCTTGCAGCCGTCGACAAAGTCGCAGTCGTCGAAGCCGAAGAGGATGTTGGTGATCCAGTTGCGGACGTTGCTGGAGCCGCGGATGGCAATGACAATGTTCTTTCTCACGGGATCCGTGGCGACGAAGCCTTGGAGGCCAGAGACGAGACCGCTGGAGCGTGTTAGCTACCTTTAGGTGAAAGGTGAAAAGTCAGGAGTATCTGGTCGGCTTACGAAAAGGTTCCCACAATCTTGCCTCCGTTGGCGGTGACATCAGGGCAAGCATCGGCGCTGCAGGTGATTGACGCACCGGCGGCGGCCTCGCTGTTGCAAGAGGTTGCTGCCACCATCTGTGTTACATGTTAGCGCACGCGGCCAGGTCAGAAGTCTGGGCAATGTCCTACCTGAACGTAGTACTCAAAGTTGGACAGGTCGGCGCTCGACACCGTCACGGCTCTCTCGTCGAGAGCAGCCACCGGGGCCCTGACATCGAGGAGGGGAGATGCCGAGACTGCGGCAGACAGCAAGGGGAGAAGAGACAGCTTGGCCAACATGATGACGGCAGAGGGAGCAACTCAAGACAACAGGAACAGGACGAAACTCGAGGACTTTCTCGTGAGGCACAACGAACAGAGAGACAAGGCAAGCCATCGTCCTCCACGCTGCCGCAACGTCTTATACATAACCAAGAGAGCAACGAACGGAGCACCGGGGTAAAGAGGCCAGTGGATCGACATCGAGTCGTACACCCCAGACAACGGTCCGTTGTAAGGGTTGCGGTGTGTCCACCATGCCTCCAAGTCAAGCATTCATGGCTCGGGCGAGGTTGGGGGCCGGTAGCTAGCAAACCAACTCCCCTCGATATTGGGGATATGCGAGCCAGGGTGAGACTTCTCACGCTAAAGCAAACAATACGCAAGACTTTGCGGTTTCTGGCAGTTCCTCCGCAAGTTAGAGCAATCTCGCCAGGCACAGAGCGGCGGAAATCGGCACTAGAAGCGCCAGTTGCGAATGGAAGAGATGTGTTCTTGGAGAAGGCGGTTCCATACTCCATCTAGCAGGGGGCCAAGCTCAAGAGGTCCTACCGGGGGGGCCGCAGTGCGGGATAGACAGCTTTGGCCATTGGGTGGTCTCGTCAGACAGACAAGAGGACAAGACCTGGTCCTGGCCGCTATAGCCAAGTATTGGTGGCAGGTCAGCGGTTCGGAGTGATTAGTAGCAAGCCTCGAGTGATATTGGTCTTGAATCAGTCCAACCATGAGGAACAGCATCCACGTGGGTGTGATGAGGTTGATGGACCGTCAAGGTGGTAAGGAAGCGCCCGTGCGGTCAGCCAAAGACATCTCGATCCTTGGGTATCCGTCGTGCAAAGACAGAGACTGAGAGACAAGCAATGAGAGTTTCTGCTCAATAACTCTGCGATCCTGGGGTGTCATTTGGCGCCACGTGAGCCAAGCATCCCCATAGTGGGCTTGCCGCTCATTGAACAACGACGACTGAGTGGATGGTCCCTGGACGGCGACGAGCCGGGGTGAAGCTGGGCAATTCCCACTTCTGTTGGGCTCTGTCGAAACAATAGCGTCCGCACCGGGAACAAGTTGTTAATGAAGCTGGCCGAATGGTCCTTGTCCGAACGAACTGGTGGTCAATTGCGGTCGGCCGATTGCTGGAAGAAGCCCGCCGGCCCCCCGGGCGAGTCCCTGGACGAGGCCCGCAAGAGCTCAACAAAATGCTGCCAATATGGTCTTGTGCGAGTTTGATTTTTTTTCCGATTAGTGTCGTAAGTCGAGTCAAAAGCCAAGACTGAGATACGTAAAACCAAATCGGGATTCTCGTGTGGTGATACGCGGCCCTCTACGCTGGAGAGCCGCTCTCGAGGCATCACGCGGACGAATGCTCTCGTACCACGGTCCGCTCCTCCCAATCGAGTATGGAGGTCGGTCAGGCAGAACAAGTTCCAGGAGCATCACGCCCATAGTTGTCGGCATTAAGGTACGCCTACAGACTATTGACAAGAGTATTTGCAAAAGAAAAAAGCATGTGGATGTGATTAAAGACGGGAAGATGCAGCTGAGATGGATGGCAGATGCAACACCAAAGCCACTAGATTGCGGTAGAGTGAGATGGAGGTGGGATGAAAAGGCTTGGAGACTTGGGGTCGGCGGCAGCGTTATGTCATGCTGCTTTCCGCCGCCTCTTGGGGAGCTTGGGAGCTTCGGAGCTGAATCTCGCAGCTTCCTTCTTGTCTCTAGACTCTACACGATGGGTGTGCGGCAGCTTCATTCATGCATGCCGTGATGCCGTCCTTGCCAGCTTCTCTCTACGTCTGTCTAGTGCCTACACTACAGCAGGCTCTCCCACACCCTCCCAGTTCTAACGATCAACGGCCAACGGTCAACGGTCCATCGTCGATTCGTCCCTTCTTCCCACCGGGCCACCCGTACCTGATGATCAGATGTCGACCTAGCAACGCGGGGTTGAGACATTCTAGAAAGAAGGGCTGTCATCCGGAGTCCGCGCCCACGAGACCTCTTCCTCGCCCTCCATCACTTGGTCTCTTGGTCCTGGTCTCTTGGACCAATACAACCTCAATGCATCCCCCTCACGACCAGTCGACGTTGCAGCCATCAGCTACGACATATCGGACACTACCACACATCTCATTCAGCTATCACCGCGCCATCTCTCGAACCGACATTTGACCTTCTTTCTTCCCAAGATTGCCGTTCATGCCGTGCCGCTTCCACCGACCTTGCCTATTGATCGATTCCCGTTTTCCGTGCAGAACAAGAGCCGAAATCTGCGCTCCGTCACCCCTGACCCCTGCCCCATCGATCTTCGCCGCTGGACCGAGTTTGGGATTTCCGACCGCCTGGTGCTCTTCGCTTGCGAGTTTCCTAATTTCAGCAGTGCCCTAGACTCGATCTGGTGGACGTGGCAGACCCCAAGCAGAGACCTCTTGGGGTATCACGAGGTCCGTCTTGTACCACCATGCCAATGGTACACACCCATTTGCAATGCTGCATATGCACTGATTCAAGGAAATAGACATCTGCGGCCTGCCAGTGAACCACGCGCGCAATGCAACGCCCGGCCACAATCTGACAGACTGACAGCTCTCCCCGCGTCGGAGCCGAGCCCGGACGAGCAGTATTTTTCCCTTTTACAGTTTGCTGACCGCTCACAGCTCGCCAGGCATTCCCACCAAGCGCCCACCCTGCACGTAACAAGGGAGATCTTCACATCCAGTTTGCATGTCACCTTGGATCGGCCATGTCGACATTTGCGGTTATTATCGCCGTCTTGTCGACCCTTTGGGCCTCGAGCGTGGGTCTTCTTCACGGCTTAATCTTGTCATACCCACTGCTTCTCTCAACCAGAGTCAACGACTCCGAACTGTCATTGTTCCCCGGGGACTTGCGAATGCCGTCGCTTAACTCCAAGTCCCAGGTTCCCACCTACCAACTCCCGCCCGAAGCGAGGCGGTTTCGGCCGCTAATCCGGTTCAACACCGAATCCATCCTTTGTACCAAAAGACTGCAGCACAGAATCTCCAAAGGGTGGTATTTCCCCCGCCTTGCACTGACTTATCGCTGGCGCTGTCGTATCAAACCATACTTTGTCTACGCGACATGTCGATCGACCACTCTAACGCTCATATCTGACAAGCATAGGCCCGAACAATCCAGCACAGCTGCCCAAAGGGAGCATCCCACAACCTTGATACGTTGCAATATCTGCCCTTTTCTAATGCTCTTGGACCCTTCTGGTAGCTATCAGGACATCATGAGCTGTCAGGTATGGCTGCATATCCCTGCGGTCAGTAGAGCCCACGGAGCTGCCAAGCGGATCGTCTGTTGTCACTTGCCTTCTATACCACGCGGACTGTAAGGGCCCGTGATTGGAGTGTATAGTCATAATGACAAGTGAGAGCTACCGGTCCGCCAGTAGCCTGGATATCCCGTGCGTAGTATATAAGTGAATGGTGGTGCTCGCGATGTCGCGGGTCCTGTAGCTCCTGTTCGTCCGCCTGTGTTGACGTAGCTCCCTCTCGTGACCTATACCATTGGTCCGAGTCTAGCCTGTAAGAGCCTTGCGGTAACGAGACCAATCGACCGCCGCCATGGCAAACACATTCTCTGTCAAGTCCCTGGCCGTAGCCCTCCTCGCCAGTCACATCTCATCCTGCGACGCCGCCGTGATATCAGTAAGATCCGATGTGCCTGCCGGATATGTCGCCGCGCCCTACTACCCAGCGCCATACGGCGGCTGGGCCTCGGACTGGACAGACAGCTATAGGAGGGCGAAAGCTGTGGTTGATAAGATGACGTTGGCTGAAAAGACCAACATCACGTCCGGAACTGGCATCTTCATGGGTGAGTCTCGACTACGGAGTGATGTCGTGCAAGCTGTTCAACTAACGTGTATAGGGTGCGTTTCTCAATCAAAACATCATAACTCCTGCTAACATAGCCAAGCCGCTGCGTTGGAAACTCCGGCAGTGCCCTCCGTGTCGGTTTCCCCCAGCTATGCCTCGCGGACTCGGCAACCGGTCTGCGTCAAGCCGATAACGTGACGGTGTTCCCGTCCGGCATCACTACCGGTGCCACCTTTGACAAGGACCTGATGTACGCTCGCGGTGTTGCCATAGGCAAGGAGTTCCGAGGCAAAGGCGCCAACGTGTACCTTGGACCGGCCGTGGGTCCCATAGGGTATGTTCTGCCCCTGATGGTGTCGTCCAGAACAAGCTGACCATACCGCCAGTCGAAAGCCCCGTGGTGGCCGGAACTGGGAGGGCTTCGGGGCCGATCCTGCGCTGCAGGGCAAGGCTGCTGCTCTGACGATCAAGGGCGTCCAGGAGCAGGGCGTCATCGCCACGATCAAGCATCTCATCGGCAACGAGCAGGAGATGTATCGCATGTATAACCCTCTGCAGCAGGGCTACAGCTCCAACATCGGTAGGTTACCGACAGAGAGAGAAACAGTGGTTGGTCTCTTGACTAACAACGACAGACGACCGAACACTCCATGAACTCTACCTATGGCCTTTTGCAGATGGCGTACACGCAGGCGTAGGATCCGTGATGACGGCCTACAATGCGGTAAGCATTCTGTACACATCATCAAGACTTGAACTAACGGAAACCAGGTCAACGGCTCGGCATGCAGCCAGAACAGCTATCTCATCAATGGCATTCTGAAAGACGAGCTCGGCTTTCAAGGTTTCGTCATGAGCGACTGGCTTTCCCACATGTCCGGTGGTGGTTCTGCTCTCGCGGGTCTCGACTTCAACGCCCCCGGCGACCAGCAAGTTCCCCTGACGGGCTACAGCTACTGGATGTACGACCTCACCAGGGCGGTGCTGAACGGATCCGTCCCCGTGGATCGCATCAACGACATGGCCACCAGAGTACTGGCGAGCTGGTACCAGATGGGCCAGGACTCGGGCTTCCCCGCGCTCAACTTCGCCACAGGAACCCGCAACAGGGTGGGAGATCTCTACCCGGGAGCCTTCCCCTTCTCCCCCAGCGGCGTCGTCAACGAGATGGTCCAGGTGCAGGCAGACCACTACCTCGTCGCCAGGCAGGTCGCGCAGGAGGCCATCACCCTGCTCAAGAACAACGGCAGCCTCCTGCCCATCGCCACGTCGGCGCCGATCAAGGTCTTTGGCACCGATGCCATTACGAACCCGGACGGTCCCAACGCTTGTGCCGATCGATCCTGCAATAAGGGTCTGCTCGGCATCGGCTGGGGCTCGGGGACGGTCGACTACGTCTACCTCGACGATCCCATCACCGCGTTTAAGAAGAGAGCCAGCAACGTGACGTTCTACAACACCGACTCCTTCCCCTCTGTGCCGGCTCCAACAGCAGACGATGTTGCATTCGTTTTCATCACCTCGGACTCTGGGGAGAACCAGTACGTCGTCGAGGGCAACAACGGTGACCGAAGCTCGTCTGGTCTCGACGCCTGGCACAACGGCAACAAGTTGGTCCAGGACGCCGCCGCAAAGTACTCAAACGTCGTCGTCGTTATTCACTCAGTCGGACCAATCCTCGTCGACTCGTGGATCGATCTCCCCAGCGTCAAGTCCGTCCTGGTTGCCCACCTCCCCGGCCAGGAGGCAGGCGAGTCCCTCGCCAACATCGTCTTCGGCGCGGCCTCCCCCTCCGGCCACCTCCCCTACAGCATGACCAAGAAGGAATCCGACCTCCCAGACTCCGTGACCCAGCTCGTCGGCGGCTCCCTCGGCCAGCCCCAGGACACCTATTCCGAGGGCCTCTACATCGACTACCGCTACCTCAACAAGAACGGCATCAAGCCGCGCTTCGCCTTTGGCCACGGCCTGAGCTACACCGCCTTCTCCTACACCGGCGCGACCATCAGCTCCGCGACGGCGCTCACCGCGTCTCCGCCGGCCCGTCCCGCGAAGCAAGGGATCCTGACGTACACGGCGCCCATCCCCGACTGGACCGAGGGCGTCGCGCCGTCCGGCTTCAACAAGATCTTCCGGTACATCTACTCCTGGTGCACCGAGTCCGAGGCCAAGGACGCCGTCGCCGCCTCCAAGACGGAGACGTATCCATACCCGGAGGGGTACAGCACCACGCAGAAACCGGGTCCACCAGCCGGCGGCGCGCAGGGCGGCAACCCGGCCCTCTTTGACGTTGTCTTTTCCGTGTCGGTGAAAGTGACCAATACAGGGACCAAGTACTCTGGTAAGGCCTCCGCGCAGGCGTACGTGCAGTTCCCTGGCGGCGGGCCCGAGACGCCGGTGATCCAGCTGCGCGACTTTGTCAAGACGAAGAACCTGGCGCCGGGGGAGGGCGCTACCGTGACGCTGCAGCTGACGAGGCGGGATCTGAGCGTATGGGATGTGGTCAGCCAGAACTGGGTTGTGCCGAACCCCACCGGGCGGTATAAGATTTGGATCGGGGAGGCGAGTGACAAGTTGTTCTTGGCTTGTTATACGGACACCAAGACGTGTGAGGCTGGCCTGGCTAGCCCCGTTTGATTTAGTTCCTGCGTATATCTATTCTTCTCAACTCTCCTTCAAACTCTAGTGGTATGGTTGGTTGACTGTTGTCCACCGGTAGCGAACAAGACGGTGGGCTCGAGTCTCCCGTAGAACGAGCGGCGCCAATGGGAACTGTCGTCAAATAGTCAACCTTTCGGATTTGATCTCAGCAGTTCCAGTTTAATAATATAGGGTTGTATCTCTCAATAGTAAGCCAAAAGCAGCTCCCAGACCTGTGCCTGATCCAACACAAGCGATAACCCAACTCTTAACCCAGCATCATTACCATACCATTCTTGATAGCGTCAATCTCCTTCTTCCCAAGCGGATCCTTCTTGTTGAAAGCATGCTGCTTCCGCTTCGCAGGCGTCCACGACGTGATATCCAGATCATCGCCGCCAATCTTCCTCCCCTTTTTATACGACGCCAGCGCATCCGCCCATCCCCAGGGGTCCTCGCCGTGTTCCTCGGCGTTAGGTAGCTCTTCCTCCTCGCCCTCGAGATCGTCAACGAGAGCCTTCAGCCCCGGGACGCCCTTGAGCGTGATGCCGTGCTTCTTGGCGTACGCGGCGACGTAGCTGTCGAATTTCTCCGCCGTGAAGGGGAACGGACGCTTCTTGGACTTTTTGTGGACAGTCTCGTCTTACAAGAGGTCGAAGCCGCGGAAGGCGGAGGCGACTTTCAGCATGCCGGCCATGACGCAGCCTAGGTCTTCTACTTCCGAGTCCGCGGCCAGGACGCCCTCGAACTCGAGGCGGGCGAGGGTTGCGAGGAAGAGGTTGCCGATGAGTTTTGCAGTCTCGTCGACGAACTCGCCGTCGTCGGCCCTGGGAACACGTTAGTTACTCCCATCTCGACAGGAAGAGAGTCATTGACCGTAAGACTTACATGGCAAAGTCACCACCATTCAGGTACCAAATAAACGGGCACAGCGCCTCGCAGATGACCCACTGCTCCCGCTAGTTCCCCTTGGCCTCCTCGTAGTCGAGCACGAGGTTCTGCAGCACCTGTAGTACGCCGTAGGCCATGTGATCGTTGTACGTGTACATGCGGAAGCTGTCCGGGTCGCGGACCTGGCAGTGGATCTGCTGGTTCATGAGCTTGCGGAAGCCGGCGTGCGTGATCGCGTAGGGCGCGTCCGGGTACTCGGCCGCCGGCTTGGTGCAGACGCACGTCTTGCCGCCGTCGCATTTCTGTTTGGGCTTCTTCTTCTTCTCGAGCTCGACGTAGGCGAGGTGCTGCTCGTCTTTGTCTTTGCCTTGTGCGGTGGCCTTCTTCTTGTCGGCTGCTTTGGACTTGGCCTTGCCCTTGCCCTTGGCTTGAGGCTCTTCCTCTTCGTCATCTTCTTCGTCCTCCTCTTCGTCCTCGTCATCCTCGTCGTCTTCCTCGTCATCATCATTGGTGCCAAAGGGACAACGGACTACGTACTCAAAAGCATAGGCGACCTCCTCGCAGGCCTTCTTGTAGTCCTCATCGGCGTTACGCGACGCCGAGACCGCCGACCAGCGGGTATTCTTGGCTGGCCAGCGGTTCTTACCGCGGTCGTCATCGGCAGGGGCCGATGCGGACGCAGGTGAAGAGGCCTCAGCCTCGGGAGCAGTCGTCTTGGCCTTCTTACTGGCACCGGACGCCGCTCCGGTTGAGCGTCTTTTAGGAGGCATTATGGGGTTGTCTTGGGGCACGGATGATTGTGTAAGTGAGCCTGACAGGGAATCACTATTTCACTAGGTGGGAACAAGATAGAAGAGCCAACTTCAACTACTACACTATGAAAGGGGAGCCGTTTTTAAGACCGTTGAACTTCCATGTGGGGGTGAGCCACCGATGTCACTATCGAAAGTCAAAAAGTTGCAGAGCTATGAGTTCTTTGCTTTTCCATCCGACGACGCGCGCAGAATGCGTTTGAGCTTCCCTGAGTATGACGAAATGTTGATCTGGTTCGTGGACCCCCTATCCCTGGACGCGTCGAATCAAGTGACACTGGCGGATCGAGATGACCTTTCTTTCTTTTTGTACTGTCTATGCTGTCCGGACTACAGCCAAGGCCCAAGAGCCAGCAAAAGGTCTTTCAAAGTCTGATAAGCAGGTCTGGGAAGCATTATGATATAGCCAGCTGTGCGGAAAAAGGTCCGGCTTGCTGCGGGATTACGATAGGGGCTGCCGGTATTTAATGCTGCTGGCCGTTTCTTCCTTTTAAGCCCGGCAGGGGTACGGTTGGAAAAGATGCGGGCATGACATTGTGTCTTTGAACAGATGCTAGTAATTTCAAAAGAACGTTATGTCATGGAACTTGCCAGGCCCCATTCGAGGATGACCGAACAGAATATCTTGCTACATTCACTGCTTCTCAGAGCTAACCACACCTTCGCCGTGCCCGAGAGCATGCAATTGAGGGCGTCGCCAGGAACATAATCTCTTCACTCTCGGCATAGAGAACCACTGTCTCGACCTAGACACTTGCATGAGAATGAATGTTGGATGCTTGCAACGGCAAGCGATTCCCGCAAAATCCAACGAATTCCCTGAAACCTACTGGTTGAGTTGTTGTACATTGGCTTCATATTGATACATATTGAACACTACCTCTCGCGGAGGCTCTAATGTTGGAATCTTTCTTCAATCCGGCTTAGGCCACGCCCAACCTTGGCCACGCCATCCCTGAGAACTCTGTCTGGGGTAATCGTGCCATTCTCTCCTCATCCGCAGCAATGTCGTCTGGTCATTTCCACGGTGCTCCGTAGCTCTATCCTCCCACGTTACATTCAAACGCCGAGCTTCGTGCGGCCCTTCTGGCGCCTCCGTGCCACAATCTTGCGTCCGTCCTTGGTCTTCATGCGGGAAACGAAGCCGTGTCTGCGCTTCTGGATCAGGCGGGTGTTGCGGTTCATGGTGTTGCGAGGACCGCAGCGGAGTTGCATGGCGCCCAGGGCAGGGTGCTCGGTGATGGCGCTCGTGGGGACCAAGTCGGCAATGGCACCATCGACGGTCGAGGGCGTGAACGGCGTGGCATTCGGCCGGCGGAAGGCGGATGTGAGAGGTGTGATGGACGGACGCAGCGAGGGGAGGGAGGAGAACGTCCTATGGTGCCGGTTAGCTACTATCTTCACCTCTGCTGCTAAGGGGTTGAGGCACACCTTTGTGATGTCGATTGAATGACGACGCGCACCGGCTGGGTAGCCGGGCGGGCGAGGAAAGCCCTCGCCAGGCCTGTGATGGATTGACGCATCATCTTGGCGGCAATTGTGTGGTTGTCGTCGAGCGGCGTGGAGCTCAAAGTGACACCATCGACAGCTTCGAGATTTTGCGGGAAGACTTTCCTGCAATCCAACGGCAGTTCCCGTCGCTCATGCATCAAACGGGGTTCCACCGTTCGGACGGGGCTTTCGTCTGCACGCAAGACATTGCATGAGGCGGGTGTTTCAGCCAATTAAAGTTGGGGTAAGCTGGAGTCCTCGCAGCCAATGATCGACCCTGCCGGCAGCCGCAAGCCCCGAACCGCACCAGCCCGCCCCCACTTGGTCCCATTCGCCGGCTCACTGTGGACAGCTTGCCTGAGCTAACAATACTCCGTACCCAAGCTTGCGACCAGGTCCGGAGCCTGCTTCTTTCCCATCTCCAATCCCATATATTCCATTCTTGTCCCTCCTTTGCAACCCTTCCGGACTCCGAAGAAAAGCAAAGAGAGGCCAACATGGATTTCCTTCAACGCCTCGCGCGGTTCTTGGACCGACCCCTCTTCCCGTGGAAACGCCTCATCCTCGGCTTCTCGGTCGGCCAGTTCGTCTTTGAGAGCTTCCTCTCGCTCCGCCAGTACCAGGTCCTCAAAAACACCAAGCCCCCCAAGGTTCTCGAACAGGAAGTCTCCCAGGAAGTTTTCGACAAGTCTCAAGCCTACGGTCGCGCCAAAGCGGAATTCGGTTTCATCAGCGGTCTCTGGGGTCAGATCCAGAACATTGCCTTTATCCAGTTCGATGTCCTCCCCAAGCTCTGGTCATGGTCCGGTCACCTGCTGCTGAAGTTCGCGCCGGCGCGCTTCACCGGCGAGATCTCCCAGTCCATCGTCTTCGTCCTCGCCTTCATCATGATCCAGCAGGTCCTCTCGCTGCCTAGCTCCATCTACCAGACGTTCGTCCTGGAGGAGAAGTTTGGCTTCAACAAGCAGACGCCCAAGCTCTTCGTCACCGACATGATCAAGTCTCAGCTCCTCGCCTTTGTCCTCGCGCCCCCGATCCTCGCCGGTTTCCTCTCCATTGTCAAGAAGACGGGCAACCAGTTCTTCTTCTACCTCTGGGCTTTCGCGGCTGGTCTCCAAGTCTTCATGATCACAATCTACCCGGTCGCCATCCTGCCCCTGTTCAACAAGCTGTCGCCTTTGGAAGAGGGCGAGTTGAAGAACGGCGTCGAGAGCCTTGCCAAAAGCCTGAACTTCCCCCTCCACGAGCTCTATGTGATTGACGGAAGCAAGCGCAGCGCCCACAGCAACGCCTACTTTTTCGGTCTCCCCTGGAAGAAGCACATTGTCATCTACGACACCCTCATTGAGAAGAGCGAGACGCAAGAGGTTGTTGCCGTTCTGGCCCATGAGCTTGGTCACTGGAGTCTCGGCCACACCACGCGCCTCTTTGGCATCTCTCAGGTATGTCAATAGCCAACCGGCGCAACATCATTCACTAACAGCGATAGGCCCACTTCCTGTACATCTTCGCCCTCTTCTCCGTCTTCATCAGCAACAACTCCCTGTACGCCGACTTTGGCTTCCTCACGGAGCACCCCATCATCATCGGCTTCATCCTCTTCTCCGATGCGCTCTCCCCCATGGACACCGTCGTCAAGCTGCTCATGAACATCCTGAGCCGCAAGTACGAGTTCCAGGCCGACGCCTTTGCCCAGAAGCTCGGATACTCTGCTGAGCTGGCCAGATCCCTCCTCAAGCTCCAGATCCAGAACCTCAGCTCCATGGACGCCGACTGGATGTACGCGACCTACCACTTCTCCCACCCGCACCTGTCGGAGCGCCTCAATGCGCTCAACTGGAAGTCTACGAGCAAGGTCACATCGGAGGAGCCCACCGTGGGCAAGACCTCTGGAAGAGACGAGTTGTAAAGGGGAAGTTAGCTGAATAGAGTGCTTGCGTCTTTCAAGAGCATTTTCGGGGTTCACACTCCGCAGACATTTGTATTACTACTAGGTCACCCAACGAGCGGAAAGGTGACTCGTCGGGTCAAGGAAGCGAATGGAATAAATCGTTTTACGCAGTGAAAGCAACTACAAGTTTCCGTCCCACCAGCTCATCGCCTCGGGGCTCTCATGTTGGCCAGCACGCGTGCCAATAGCTCCTCGCGCGTGTCGTTGTCCTGCGGAAACAGGTTTCGCTATGATACATGTAAGTACACAATGACGGAGACGGAGAAGAGAGCTGCAAATACCGCCGCGAGCCACCTCCTCATCTCCTCTCTGGTCCAGTCCTCGGGGTTGCCTGTGGGATCCGGCCCCGCGGGGAACATGTCGCCGCCGTAGATGGCCCAGACAGCTACTGCCGTGACCAAGCCGCCGAATGCTAGTAAACGGTCAGCAATTAGGTCTTTGTGTGCGATTGTATGTTGCTTTACCGAGTACGGCATTCTATTCAAGTATTAGCAGAGCGACTAAATGCAATCATGTTGGCAGATACGGACCCTGGATCTCATGGCATTGTCGAGTGGTGTAGGCATCTTGTGTAGATGTGGCGGTGCAGTGACAGTGTCGTCTCGTGGAACTGATGGCCAGAACCTCAGGTTTTCAACGCGGCGAACAGGAGCAGAAAGAGCACCAATTATAAGGTATGTAAAAAGCTTAGAGGACACCTTTGGTAACGTGTTATGCGACGTGTTCGTTTATAGACTGGTTTGAGTTGAAGCGTCGTCAACCCATGCGCAAGGAAAGGTACAGGCCGAGGGTCTGGTCCAGCGCCACGTCTACCCCGAGAGCTTTCGGGGGTGTGTGACGCGTGCCACAGTGACGTCCCATCTGAAATGGTGTGGCAGCTGCTGCCTGTGGCTGTGGAGGAACCTGGAAATCCGTGGGACCCGACGGGAACCCGACTCCGCTTCTCGGTGTGGTCGGTGACAGAACCCCCGACAGGTCACCTTGGACACCTCAGTTCCAGCCCGCCCCGATAAGATAAGGTCGAACCTCGCAAGATGCATCCCCTCCCCGAGTGGGCTCGACCTCGAGCACTGGATGCAAGCGTTGGCCCGTGCGTTTCGCTGCCACAGGGGTCCATCCCACAAAATCAATTTTCCATCCAAAAAAGCCCACGAAAGTCTCACGACAGCAACCACTCAATCCGACCAGACAAGACCCCCTCCGTTGTCGCCAATCCCCCCCGAAAAATACCGCCAAGATGCCTCGCGAAATCGGTGATATCAAGCAGGTATGTTGCAGCCGCTGTTGAATTGCTGTTGCACGGAATTTTGTAGAACGAAATTGACTAACAATTGCTGTTTCTAGTTCATTGAGATTGCCCGGAGAAAGGACGCTTCCTGTATGCCATGACCTGACCCATTCCTCCCTACTACCTGCCCGACGAAGCCGAATCAACGATGGTGTTCGCCAGAACGCAGGCGAATCGCGAGCTTCGAAGAGAAAAGGGAAAGGAAACTTGGAAGAAGGACCAGCAATTTTCTAACGTGTATCGCAATTATAGCCGCTCGCATCAAGAAGAGCACCAAGAACTCCCAGATCAAGTTCAAGGTCCGCTGCCAGCGCCACCTCTACACCCTCGTCCTCAAGGACTCCGACAAGGCCGAGAAGCTCAAGCAGTCCCTCCCCCCTCGTACGTTCTGAATCCCCCTTCTAGATCATCCCTCGGTACAGTTCTCCCACTCGAATTTCTCTTCTAGAGGAACGCCTCGTACGCAGTCGAGGACTAGGGAAAGGAGATACTACAGACCGGGGACAATCTACGAATCAATCAAACTGTCGCTAACCACGAATCCCCAACAGAGCTCCAGATCAAGGACGTCCCCAAGAAGAACCCCAAGGGCAAGTCCTCCGCATAAGCGAGTCCCGTAAAAACGTCTCGAAACAAAAATCGTCAAAAAAACTCTTTGAGCTTCGATGGGGATATAAAAGCATGAGTACGGATAGCCTGTCATGAGGTCAATGGAATGAAATCTTGACTCGTTTCCCCACCTGGGTTCTGTGTTTTTTTCGTGGGGCTATTGGCCGGTCGGTCTATTTGGGGGAAAAATGAGGTTTTGAAAAGCGCAGTGTTGACTCTCCCCTTCTTCGTCCCCTCTCGGAAGAGATGAACGCGGAACGGGAGAGGCAACCTGCGTCACCACATAACATGGCGTAGAGGAATATCACCTAGGCAATTTGCGAGATGAGATGGAGACTGCGTCAACGTTTGTTGCTAGTCAGACATTTCCCGCCAACGAAGAAACCATTGAACACAAAAGACTGCCACCGCCCGCGCCTCTCTTCTCTAACGGTCCTCTTGCAAATCGGACAGTGCTTGCAACACCCTAGGAGGCCATCTACCATCTAACTCCGTGTCTCTGATCTATCGACGTGGGTACCATCACAGGCACCTCAAATGAGCCGCTTGTAGTGCCAAATGTCCGTTCCCGTCACAAACTCCTGAATGCCAGCCCACTCCTTGAACCCCTCGTGTTCCGCGATCGCCTTGTGCTGTTCCACCGTCTCCCAGCCGCAGTACATGACATACTCCTCGAGGTCCTCGGCGGCCTTTTCGATCCGCCAACCGCCGCGGACGGGAAACGGCTTCGACGACTCCTCGACTACCCACTTGGCCTCGGCGTACTTCTTGACAAACTCGTCCTTCCTCTCCGACTTCACCCCGAACCGCCCGACGCTGAGCACCGGCGACGTCAGGAGGGATGGCGGCTCGTCTTGCGCCTTCTTCTTGCCCTCTCCTTTGCTCTCTTCCTCGGGTACCGGCGCTTCCGGTTGCTTGCCCTTGGACTCCGTCTCCGCTTCCGCAGCCCCCTCCTTCGTCTCTGACGGTGCTGATACAGGCTTCGCAAAGATGGGCGCGTCAATGTGAAAGAATAGCACGCTTCGTGGGCCCTCGATGTGAATGTGCGGCATCAACTTGGCCATGACGTTCTGGTTCTCTGGTGACGCGATCCACTCCCCATGCGCCTGCGGCGAATCCCACTGCGCCGCCAGGAGCACCACCGTCGGATCCTCGACCTGCTGGAGGATGGCGGTGCCGCGCTCTATCCGGGTCGGCGGCAGGCCGGGCTTCTGGCGCAGAACCCAGGTGTCCTGGACTGTCTGGCAATAGTCCATGAGCTCCTTGACCTCCTCGGTGAGGGGCTCCTTGAATTGGAGAAGGGCGAGCTCCGTCACGGCCATCGCTGCGAGCTTGTTCGATTTTGACGGCGAGGGCGAGTTTGGTATCTTCTGCAGATAGAGATATCGAGTTGAAGACGGCAATTCCGGGGTTCGCGGGGTCAGCGGGAAGCTCTTCGCGCGGGGTTCGGTGCGGGCCGGGGGATAGTACAAAGGTACTTTGGAGCTTCGAGCATAAAGATACAGGGGATGGCTTCTCTGCTCGAGATGATGTCTCGGGAAGATTCTCAGGCCTTGCCAAAGTCTTTGTGTTTTCTATTGTCAAGTCAACATCGGAGCATCCGAGATAATGGAGTACGAAGTCCACTTGGCGGGGCAGTGAGGCTGCAGGATGATACCGATGCAGGACGAGTGACGCTGACGCCCGGCGAGGAGCGGCACAGACGCGACGGTCCTAGGTTAGTGTAGGAGCCGGTAGCTTAGTGATAGGCTCAATTGTGTGACAGCCTAAAGCTGATATGCATTGTTCTTCCGTCTGAAGAGGCCAAGCAAGCTTGAACTTCCCCTCAATGCTTTGGCTCAGCTGGACGTTTACCCCGCCGTTGCAGTATTTCCCCCGTGGATTACACTTTTGCCCATTGTGTCCCAAGTCTTTGATAGCTCTACGCAAGGTTGCAAGCCGTTGCTTGGGCTAAGTCGCAATACGAAAAAGTAGGTTCCCATGGCACGTTGATGTGGCACTGCTATTAAGTTGGTATCCCGTGGCTAGTTCGGAACGTCCACCTGGATCCAAGTGCATTGAAGTTCTCGTTTCTGGATCATCTCTGGGACCCAACGATCGCAGAGTAGAGGCTGTCTAAGGGCCCGAGTGTGATAGGCTTGACAATGCTCCATGCCAAGTCATTTGAAGCGGCGTCATTCCTTGGTAGATGCTATCGCAAACGCAACATGCAGCCGTTATTGTTGAGATTGCGCGCCTGAAGCATTGGCAAGACGAGAACATCACCGGCCTCTGTTCCTGCCAAGCGTTTGCTTGTTTCTAGCTGTCGTGCTGGGCGATCGACAAGTCTCCTTAGGTGAGGAGACTGACCCGCAAATGCACTGCGCAGTCTGCGCCTCGGTGGTCAAGCTGAGAGCTCCCCGGCACGCCCGGCGGAGGGATCTAACGGCAAGGTATCGATAAGCCAACCTTCGTGTGCGCGGCATCCACTGCCTGCCGGTAAGCGTTCATGTCTGGCGGAAAACGGTGCTCCAGGCACGGCCGCCGCTGCATTTCCAAACGAGCCTCACGAGAGCTGGCATCGACACAGTTAACCTGAGCCTTTTCGTTATGATGCGGCGATGCTGCCCATTTTCCAATCCCAGACACGGAGCTGCCAAACGGTGAAGGTGTCACGAATTAGAGAGACAGGAGGGGTTTGTGTGACGGGTTGTCGTATCCATTGGCGCTTGTTCTCCCTTTCCCCTGATATTGTAATTGCTGCGATACCTCACCGCTTCGAGTCTCGGTTCTTTCTCTGTGTCATCCACGATGCAATCTCTTTCTTATTGGCTGGGTCAACGCATGTCGAGTCCGTGATCGGTGGTGTTGGTCGCATCGGACTGCCCATGTTGGTCAGAGGCTCTTGGCCGGGGTGAACTGCCTATGCGGACGCCCTTGGAGCAGATCGGTGCTACCACAGCCCCTACCACGAACGAGCAGAGGCATCAGACGAAACGACGCTCGATTGCCCTAATGGCGACACAACTGGCGATTTAGGGGTCGTCGTCCAGTGGGCGTACTAGTTTTCTGGCACGTCTGGGCTATTCTGCCGTCGTAAGCTCCCAGCCGCGCCGCAACTCAAAGCTTCTCGGCGGTGGCTTGGAGACGCCCATAGCTGTCATTTGCAAGCCTGATTTGCGTGTGGTGCTGTTGGAGACTGCTGGTAATGAGCCGCGAGGCTTGTTGCTTCACATCGCTTTTGATGGAAGACATATTGAGTACTACGTACTCCATACAGTTACGGGCAATAGAGGTACCATGCAGCCGGTCAGCATCGAATCGAAGCCTTGAACGAAGAGTCGATTCAGCTGCGGTTTGAAACCAGTGAGGTAGCAGCTCGAGAGCTCCGAGCTGTCAGCTTCGCATGCGAAACGCCAGTCTCGAGCAGCTGGGCGTTGGATGTGGCGCTGTCAAGGGCTGCTGTTCCCAACTTGGTGTGTTCAAGTCGTGTCCCCCACCATCAGGGCTGTGCAGGAGACAAGAATGTATCCTGGTGGTAAGAACTAAGAAGTGCCCATGGAAGGGAGCTTGAGGTGCCATCGACGAAGTACCCCAAGTACCACAGGTGACAGAGCTAGTGCAAGGTAAGAAGCAGGTGGCCATTGATGGCCGCCCTCCTTCCAGCGTTCCACGGATTCCACCTGCAGCAACCCCTGTCAAGGCAATCGGGTGCTTGCCGGGAAACTGCCCACCAGGCCGGGAACAAGTTCAGTCATCAGGGGATAGACGCGAGAGCGAGCCAATGGAGGAGCGCAGCCGTCATGTTGGCACGGCGAGGTGCCGCGAGAAAGCAAGGTACCAAGGATAGGCCATTCGACGGTATGTTCCCTGGCTGTGTTGTGTTGGACCCCAGGTAACATTATTGATGACAAGTAAGCGTAATGACTGCCAGGCATCATCGTCAGAAACCTAACCATCACGCGCTCCAGCAGCATAGCCCTTACTGTGGAAGGCTAGCATCATCGTGCTTCTCCCAGAGCTGCGTTTCGTCCCAAGTCCCAACAAGACCTGCATCGCGCATTTGGCCCAATGAGCCACCAGGTACCTACCTAGACCGTGGGCGTGGGCTTCCATTAGTTCCATCGAATCGGCCCTTGGAGCTTCCAAAAGATTTTCTTGTGGCTGGACAACCAACCGCTACGGGATCTGGAAACATTCCACCCCCGGACTGGGACCCCCGTTCTCCCGCATGGCATCTAAATCAAGTCTCAATTGCGATACCGTCTTTTCTCTGTCCGTCCTTCCCAAGCATGAGGGAGGCCGTAAGCCCCAGAGCGGGTGTCCAGGCATTCTAACGGAGCACGTCTGAATTAACCACACCCCAGTCTTCGTCTGTCATGATACAGTTTTCTCGCCAAGTAGTCTACCTTCCATCACGAAGAAAGTATCCCATAGGCACGCTACCTTGTCTGCCCTTACAGGCTTACCCCCTTTGGCGATCGTCTTTCCCCATGTTTCCTGTCTAATACCTAATGACGGGCCCAGCTTCCTCGTTCCGTGACCCATCGACTCTCCTTGTCCACGTCGAGCTCCAGCAGCTGCGCAACCACGTTGTCCAATTTGCGGCTTGCCCATCCACCACCCCCCGGAACCTGGGAAAGCTAAATTGCCTAACTGAATCCAGCGTCCCATTCTCTCGTCCTCTAATAAAAGTCCTTGGATTGCTGTATTACCAACGACCTAGGGCCACTCCTTCTCCTGGAGTCCTGCATCCATCCTCCTGTCTCTCTTCTCACTACTCACGCGCGCCGCTGATCGTCACCCGCTTCCGCTTCCGCCTCTCTTCTCTCACGCTCTCTCCCAACAACTTTTTCTCTGCTTCACCACCCTCTCTCGCTCGCTCTGCCTCCCGCTCTGCACCACTTACGCCAGCACCCATCTACCTCGTCAAGCCTGCTATCACGACCCATCTTGCAGCTGTCGTCTCGATTCGCTCCGCTACCGCTACTACCCACCAATTGACCCCTCACAGCACCACCCATTCGGCACCCGCTAGACGACCCTACAGTTGGGCTACCTATGCGCTGCCTCTAGTACGGCTCTCGAACAAACACACGATACCGACAACCTCCTTTTGCGCCTTCGCATACATTGGATTTTGGCTATTTGCACCACCGAGCAACGCATCACATGGCTGTCTTTGCTCCAGAAACGCGAAACGGGGCTGACAGCATTGCCATCAATGGCATACCGCCCGCCGCCTATGTAAACGGCAACGGCAACCTGGCGCATCGCCTCAAAATGGAACGCAAACAGTCCTCGCCCATGATGCCGGCCTTCATGGTCTCGGCACCAGGAAAAGTCATTGTTTTTGGAGAGCACGCCGTCGTTCACGGCAAGGTACGTTTGCGCCCCAAACCCCCTTTTTTCCCTGCATCAATCTGGCCCATAATCTGACTGACCCACGTCGAACCAACAGGCCGCAATCGCCGCAGCCATCTCTTTGCGATCATACCTTCTTGTCACCTCTCTCTCCAAGTCGAGGAGAACAGTCTCGCTCCGTTTCCCAGATATCGACCTGCAACACACATGGAATATCGACGACCTGCCGTGGGCCACCTTTCAGCACCCTTCGAAGAAGAAGTCCTACTACGACCTTGTGACGGAGCTTGACCCGGACCTGGTTGCAGCCATCCAACCAAACCTCGCAGAAATATCACCGCACAAGTCTGACCAAGTACGAAAAGTGCACCAAAACTCGGCCTCGGCCTTCCTGTACATCTTCCTATCGCTTGGCCACCAGTCTTTCACAGGATGCCTCTACACTCTTCGATCAACAATTCCTATTGGCGCTGGTCTGGGCAGCAGTGCGTCGATCGCCGTCTGCCTGGCAGCGGCTCTTCTGCTGCAGCTGCGCACATTGTCAGGCCCACACCCAGATCAGCCCCCTGACGAGGCCAGGCTGCAAGTGGAGAGAATCAACCGGTGGGCGTTTGTCTGCGAGATGTGCATACATGGCAACCCTTCAGGCGTCGACAACACCGTTTCAACCCAAGGCAAGGCTGTAGTCTTCCAGCGGACGAATTACAGCAAACCCCCGGCCGTGCGACCTCTCTGGGACTTTCCCGAGCTCCCCCTCCTCCTCGTCGACACGAAGCAGGCCAAGTCGACGGCATTCGAAGTGGCCAAGGTCGGCAAGCTCAAGAAGACACATCCGGAGCTGGTTGGCAGTATCCTGGACGCCATCGACAAGGTTACGGTCGCGGCAGACACTCTGATTGGAAATGAGGCATTTGACAACGAGGAGGAAGAAAGTCTACGGAAAGTGGGAGAGCTGATGACGATCAATCACGGATTGCTCGTCTCTTTGGGGGTGTCCCACCCGCGTCTGGAGCGGATAAGAGAGCTGGTGGATCACGAAGGCATTGGGTGGACGAAGCTGACCGGCGCTGGCGGCGGCGGTTGCTCCATTACTCTGCTGAAGCCAGATGTGCCCAAGGACAAGCTTAACAGGCTGGAATCTCAACTGGAAGACGAAGGCTACGAAAAATTCGAAACAACCCTTGGCGGTGACGGCGTGGGCGTGCTCTGGCCGGCAGTCCTCAAGAACGGAATGGACGAAGACAATGAAGGGGGCATGGAAATCGACCAAGAGAGTTTCCTGAATGCCGACGGCAACGAGGGCGTCGAGAAGCTGGTGGGCGTTCACGGGGGCGTAGGCGAGCGAGAAGGCTGGAAGTTCTGGCGCGTCGAGAGCCATTGATGAGGTTGCGACAAGCTTCAATCTGCTTCTACACTACCTTTTTCTAACCGGCCGTGCCACGGTGCAAGGCAGAGAAGATTTACTGGCTACATTGGGTTATTCGCCATACGACATGATAATATGAGGAGGAGAAGGGAACAGCTGTGGGTGCGGCTTCATGTATCTATTTTTAATCGGCGCTGAGAGCTTAGAAGTCCACCTTGCGGTGCTAAAATTAATGCTTTGTTGATTGACACTGTCGTACGAGGGACGCATGCTCAATTGCAGGTGTCTTTAATCTGGTGGTACTTGGAATGTGTCTTGAGAGAAATTCGGTGTCGAAAAGTCCAGGGGCATCTTCCCGTGGTGGGGTATCGGCCGTTGGAGAGCATTTTCCACAGCCCAAAGACAGTCTGATCTCGGCTGGCCCAGCTCAACCCCGCCATAACCCAAAGCCAACCGCAGACATGCCCGCCAAATCAAAGGTCAGCTCCAAAGCCAAGGAAGCTGAGAGCAAGAGTACGTTGGCATCAGCCGTGTTCCTTATTGTCGGATCATACAGCTCCTCTCTCTGGACCCTCCTCGTCGCTCACTACCTCTGGTTCCGAGCTTTCTTCCTCCCGCATGCTGACTTAGGCTCTCCCGACGCAGGCAAGCAAACACCACCATCCACCGCCGCCGTAGCCCAAGAACCACCAAAGACGGTCAACGAGCGCTCTCTCCACCGCTTCTACCAGACGAACCCGCACGAGCGAAAGCGAGAGGAGGCCGGCGGACTCCACAGCCTGACACCCGCGGAGCGACAGGCCTGGGTCAACGCGAGCCTCGTACGTCGCGTGGCGAGCAAGGAGATTTGCCTCAACAACAAGGCGGAGCGCGAGTTCTGGAAGCAGGTCAACCGCGAGAGCCCGCCCATCCGCCGCCTCGACCGGCAAAAGACGACGCAGGCCGAAAAGGGTACAGGTACCGCCGCCGTCTACGACTGGGGCAGGGACAAGAACGGCCGCGACGTGGGCGAGTACCCCCTCGAGCAGTTCGCCGCGCGCGCCGCCAAGCAGGCCCAGCTTACCGCGCTCGAGATCCTGCACAGGCGGTTCCTTCAGCGGAGGGAGTTTGCGAGCGCCGGAGTCACGGACGCCGCCACGGGCAAGGTCGAGGAGATTACGAAAGAGGATATCCAGGAGGAGACGCAGAGACGGAGGGAGATGTCGGCCATTAGGAAGGAGCTTTACGGCGACAAGATGGGGCCGTACGCGACGGACCCGGAGTGGGACGACGTCGTGCCGATTCCCGCCGAGGAGCCCGAGGGCGCGCTCGCTACGATTGCTTATCCGGAGGACTACGCCGAGGGTAAATAATTCAAGTCTTTTCTGCCTGAAAGTTTGACTGTAAGCTGCTAGTACGTTGGGCGCTGACCCCGTGTGTCTAGTCATGAGCTACCTCCGCGCCGTCATGGTATCCGAGGAATACAGCCCGCGATGCCTCCGCCTCACGGAGCACGTCATCTCCATGAACCCGGCGCACTACACTGTCTGGCTGTACCGCTTCAAGATCGTCCGGGCTCTCGAGACCCCGCTCGCCGACGAGATCGAGTGGCTCAACGAGGTTTCGCTCGAGCACATCAAGAACTACCAGATCTGGCACCACCGGCAGCTGCTGCTGGACCACTACTACGAGGGCATCAAGGCGACGCCCGACGAGGTGAAGCGCTTCGGCCGGTCCGAGACGGAGTTCCTCACGCGCATGCTCGAGGAGGACACCAAGAACTACCACGTCTGGAGCTACAGGCAGTACTTGGTGCGCAAGCTGGGGCTGTGGAACCTACAGGAGCTGCTGTCGACGCAGAACTGGATCGAGGAGGACGTGCGCAACAACTCGGCGTGGTCGCACCGCTTCTTCCTCGTCTTCAGCGACCCGGCGCACTCTACGGAGGGTTCGCACGCGACGGAGCGCGACCCCAAGGTGCCCGCTGACGTGGTCGATCGCGAGATCCGGTACGTCGAGGAGAAGACGCTGCTGGCGCCGCAGAACCAGGCGGCGTGGAATTACCTGCGCGGCGTGCTGGTCAAGGGCGGGCGCAAGCTCGAGACGGCCGAGGCGTTTGCGGGGCAGTTTGTCAAGAATGTGGGCGTGGAGGAAGAGGAAGAGGTGCGCAGCAGCCACGCGCTGGATTTCTTGGCCGAGGTGTTGGCGGAGAAGGGGCACAAGGAGGAGGCGGCCAAGTATCTGGACCGGTTGGCGGCCAAGTGGGATCCTGTGAGGGCGGGATACTGGAAGTACCGCAAGCAGCAGCTTGGGGCGTGAGTTTTGCAATGCTATCAACGTTGCTGTTTCTATGAATCGGGACACCCCTTCATCGTGCGCAGACGCCTTACGTCGAGCCTATTTCTATATATCCCATCGGGCTTCTGCTTGCTGTCCAATGTCGAATTCATTCTGTCTCCGAGTCAGTAGGCGAACAAAGAAGAGAATACAAGACAAGATTCACCTCTATCGTGTGTGGTATAGAACACGTCGTGTCGCTCGTCGTCGTCGCTCTCGCTTTTCATTCTGAACCAAAAAAGACCCATTCCATGCTTCCCCGCCTCACAGCGCGCGAAAGTTCTGGCTCATAATCAACCACCGCCTCGCGCCCCTCGGCGGATTCTTGCCAAACGTATCCCAATTCGGCACCAGCACAAACACCTCGTTGAACGTCTTTGCGGGAGCATCCCGGCCCCTGCCGTAGTGTACCCTGCCCGTGACCTGCGCCATGATGCTGCACTTTGCGCCCTTTTCGTCGCCCTTTTGAAGGTGCTCGGGGCAACCCAGGGAGAAATCGCTGTTGACGACGTGGGCGTCGAGGGACTCGACCTCGTGGTGGACGTCGGCGCCTTGCGCGTCGAGTAAGGCGACGTACTCGTCGGGACCGCCCTGGAGGACGGCGCCGTTGATGGAGATGTCGGGCGGGGAGGGGTATTTGGAGCAGCAGGTCGTGTAGAACTTTTCGAGGGTGCCGCCTTGTTTGCGGCGGTTGAGGGCTTCGTAGTAGGCGTCTGCGAAGTTTGAGGCCGCTGGGATGATTGTGTTAGTTCTATTGTGGAGGTTGAGAGTGAGTCTGATGGGAGGGGATGGAAATGGAAGTACCGTCGGCCGAGGCCCTCATTTCTGTTTCGCGAGAGGGGAGAGACATGGTTGCAGTCCTCGGTGCTTCAGTCCGAGTTGTGTTGAAGGAGGAGAATTGGGAATCGTATTGTGTACTCGGCGGTGTTGTCGCAACAATACAAGTGTTGAAAGGACTCGGGAAGAAGTTTGGCGGGGCAGAACAGGGATCGCGCGCCGATAAGAGCTCTGGGCCGTTATCGACAAACACAATCCGTACGGTGCATTTCGAGCGAGGAACATTGCAAGCTTTCGATTCATCACGCAACCTGCCCATCCCAGCTGCCGACGGCACGCTTCTTAGGCGGTACGCTCGACAACAACAGGCTCAATGAGACCAGCAAGGCTATCGACAGCTTCGGCTTTCCGCAGCCGCCGCCATGTCCCGGCGATGCGATCGCCCTGGGTGTGCCCCTCGTGCACCCACGGGCAGACATCGCGACGCCGTTTCGCGAGCTCCGACAGCAAGGGCGACAAGCCGTACTACGTGACGACGCCCATCTTTTACGTCAATGCATGTATGTGCAATTTTCCATGGGGTCATCTATCAGGCCCAAGCTGACATTTTGACTCAATAGCACCACACGTCGGCCACATGTACTCGATGCTCCTGGCAGACGTCCTGAAGCGATGGCAGGTTCTCAAGGGCCGGACCGCGATCCTCTGCACCGGCACAGACGAGCACGGCTCCAAGGTCCAACAGGCGGCGGCGAAGCAAGGCGTGCCGGCCAAGGAATTCTGCGACACGACGGCCGAGAAATTTCGGGACTTGGCAAAGGCCATCGGCATGGCCAACGACCACTTCATCCGCACGACGGACCAGGACCACAAGGAGGCGGTGCAGCACTTTTGGCACCTTCTCAAGGAAAAGGGGTACATTTACGAATCCAAGCACGAAGGGTGGTACTGCGTCAGCGACGAGTGCTTTTACGGCAACAACGAGATTGAGCGGCGGGTCGAGCCGCAGACGGGGCGGACCATCATGGCGGCCGTGGAGTCCGGCAACGAGGTGGAGTGGATCGAGGAGAAGAACTACCACTTCCGCATGACGGCGCTCAAGGAGAGGCTGCTCGCGTTCTACGAGGCGAACCCGGACTGGATCGTGCCGAGGGCGCGGCAGAAGGAGGTGGTGGCGTGGGTGTCCAACAACCTCGAGGATCTGTCCATCTCGCGGCCGGTGCAGAGGCTGGACTGGGGCGTGCGGGTGCCGGATGACCCGACGCAGACGATCTACGTCTGGGTCGACGCGCTCATCAACTACCTCACAAAAGCCGGGTTCCCGGGTTGGCGGCCCGGCCGCGAGCACGAGGGCGGGTGGCCGGCGGACGTGCAGGTCATTGGCAAGGACATTGTGCGGTTCCACGGCGTGTACTGGCCGGCGCTGCTGATGGCGCTGGACCTGCCGCTGCCGAAGCAGCTGCTCAGCCACGCGCACTGGACGCTGGGGAAGAAGAAGATGTCCAAGTCGCTGGGCAACGTGGTGAACCCGTTCTTCGCGATCGACCGGTGGGGTCTGGACACGATGCGCTACTTTATGATGCGCGACGGCGGGATCGAGAAGGATGCGGATTATGAGAACTCGCTCGTCATCGCGAGGTATCAGAAGGATTTGCAGTCGACGGTGGGGAACCTGATGAACCGCGTGGCCAAGAGCAAGAAGTGGAAGCTTCGGGACTCGGTGGCGTGGGCGGCGGAGAAGAGCAGCGCGCCGACGAGTCACAAGGTTGAGGGCAGCGAGGCGTTGAAGGCGTTGGTTGACGGGATGGCGCCGGCCATGTCGCAGCACATGGACGAGCTGAATCCCAACGCCGCCATTCGGAGCGTTCTCCACGTTCTGTCCGAGGTATGGACAAGCCTACATGCACCGAGGCTAACTTGCATGATCCAATACTGACTCGACGTGTCTAGGCAAACAAGTACATCTCCGCCGCGGAACCGTGGAAGCTGGCCAACTCGACGGATCCCGAGGTCCAGGCCGCGAAGCACGAGGTCATCTACTACGCGTCGGAAGCCGTCCGCTCCGCCGGCATCCTCCTGCAGCCGGTTATGCCGACCAAGATGGGTATGCTGCTTGACATGATGGGCGTCGAGGCTGGCAAGCGCCGCTTTGAGGATGCGGTGTTTGGCAGGGATTTGACGTACGGCACGCCTGCGGTTGACTTGGGACGTCCCGGCGAGTTCAACAGCTTGTTCCCCCCTCAACCAGCTGAGAATTGAGTGGAAAGGTGTTTGGTTGGGAAGGTGTTTGAAACGGGGACTTTTGTCCCGTGTAAATATGTGTACTATCTCCGCTGTTGATGCCGATTGTAAGATGGTGTATAGATATTGTGTAACCACACGAAACGAAGCTCCGAGGGCCCGGATTCAGCTAGAGTGCGATTCGAGGGCTTGTTCCGGAAGATGATCCAATTGCTTCAGGGTCCGTCTAAGATGTCTCGAAAAAATCGGCTTGTGAGGGCAAGCTGTGAGGTGTGGTCGAGACAGCGTTGTTTGCGCGCTTGTGGAGCGCGAGCTACTTCAGGCGACGGAGGGAGGGAAGTTTCAACAACAGGTCACTAGTCAAGGTGCCAGAGTGGTTAATGGGCTGCCCTGCTATCAAACCTTGATTCCAGATTAGGCAGTGGCTTCGGTCGCGCAGGTTCGAATCCTGTCCTTGACGCAATCGCGTTTCTCTTTTGCTTTTTGTGCAATACTCTGTCTCTATTGTGTTTGCCGATGATCAAATTTTCTTTTCCCCAACTTTTCTCATTCAAAACTGCCGAATGGTTGTTGTGTCTGCTGTTTGGTTGTACGTGGCAGCTATGGGTGAGCTATCCAGAGTGGGGCCGGATTCTGAGCTCTCTCCCCAAGCTTTCGCATCTACAACTCCAGCGCAAAAGTATTCACTCTCCAACTCGCACGCATCAACTCGCCTCGAAAGTCTTGGGAAGTCTTGGGAACCGAGAAAAAAAGAGAACACCGTCAACGACAAGATTCGAACTTGCGCGACCGAAGCCACTGCCTCAACTGCTGGAACAGGACAAGTCCTGATGGATCCGTAGCAGGGCAGCCCATTAACCACTCTGGCACGTTGACTCTAGCTGGGGAGCTATGAGCTGTGGACTCTCCAGGCTAGAACTCCATCCTTGACCACATCGTACACTTGTCTCAGCCGCAGGTACCCTTGGACTAGGTCTTGTTTCCCCTCTTTTCGGACGCCTGCAGGAGAGAAGAGGAGCTTTGTTGTGGGCGAGACCGGCGGGGCGGCGTTTTGGCTTTTCGAAGTGGACCTGGGAGCAACTACGGAGAAGCAAGCTTGGGAACGACTTATGCAAAGTGCACAATGAGGTTGAATGAGCATACAGGCATGTACCTACCACACCCGCGCGCCACCACTCCTGTTCCCGCGAGACAGAGACGGAGATGTGGCGCGATGTGTTCTGGGGTGATAATGTGCGCTTACATGCGGAACAGCCATCGTGACGCCGAGGGTGACTCTCGTCCCCTACGAGGCAAGTCATGTGGAACGATATCATGAGTGGATGAGTGATCCGGTTAGCCAGCCCGCAAAGAAACGTACCCGTCGTCGTATCATCCAGTGATGATTCAGATTCATGGTGCAGACGGGTGGGATATAAGACTAACTGCGCGATTCCTACCATACAGGATATCCAGGAAGCCACGGCATCGGAGCCGCTCACGTTGGAAGAGGAGTACGAGAACCAGCAGTCGTGGCGCACCTCTCACGACAAACTTACCTTCATTATCTGCCAGCCTCTCGACTCGTCGTCGACGACGGTGACTACCAAGACCGTGCAGGCGGGTGAAGTTGATGCTTCGGAGCGGATGATTGGTGACATCAACTTCTTCATCTATCCTTACGACGACGACGAAGATGAAGAAGACCAGGCAGCTGCGGCAAACGAGGGCTTGTACGTCGGTGAGGTGGACGTCATGGTAGCGTCCAAGGAGCACCGCGGCAAGGGTATCGGCCACGCCGCCGTGACGACGCTGTTGACGTACGTTCACCGGAACAAGGCGCAGATCCTCGAGGAGTATGTCCAGGGAGAGGAAGGGGGCAAGGAGATGACAACCAAGAAGGCGGCGCAGCTCAAGGGCTTGATGGTCAAGATTAAGCAGGGCAATGCCGCGAGTATCGCGCTGTTTCGGCGCTTGGGGTTCCTGCAGAAGGGGGAGGTGAATTACTTTGGCGAGATTCAGATGGTTCTTGGGGACTTGGACGAGTTTGTGGCGTCTTCTGCTGGTGTGAAGGCTGTGGGTGAGCATCGTGAGGTCTCATATTCTAGATAGGGGGTGTGATGCCGAGAAATCACCCGGCAGCTGGTCTACAATCATTGTGTCTAGTCTTGTCCCTTTCCCGTGTCTTCCAAAGTCCCGTCTCGATTCCTCCAGACAAAGTGTATCCTCGGGGTATGCCCAAGCTGGTCCCTCCTTTTATGCTGCCCAGATCTCTGTTCCACGCTTAAGCGATGGTTTCATGAAGCATCGCCATATTTTGAACGGTATTCGTTCAGCATCTCCATAGTGACGTTCGAGCCGCCGCAGACAATGAGCACGATATTCTGCTTCGCCCACTCCTCATCCGACAAGCCCGCACCGAAATGCTTTCTAAGCGTACCGTTGTACGCCGTCGCAATCGTCGCGCCACAAGCAACCTCAACCACCAGCTGCGCGTCGTCAACAAAGCGCACACACGCCAGAGCCGCCTCCGCATCCGTGACCGTCACGCTCTGGAACCCGGGCGTGTCCCTCGCGACCTCCCACGCCCTCGCCGCCACGCGCACCGCACCCAGTGATCCCGCAATGGACTTGATCCCCGGCAGCGTGACGTGCTCGCCGGCGAGCACGCTGGCGTTGAGGCTGTCCGCGCCGACCGTCTCCACGGCCATCAGACGCGGTTCCTTCCCTGGCCACCGGTTCTGCGAGACGCCCTGCGCGAGACCGGCCAGTAACCCGCCGCCGCCGACGGAGCACACGATCCCGTTGACTTCAGTTTCGTTCCCAGACGACGATGATGCCAACTGCGCGACGAGCTCATCGGCAATGGTCGCCGCACCGTCCCAGACGTGCGGGTGGTCAAAGGGGGGCACGTACACGCCCGCCGGGTCGTTGGCGAGCATCACCTCGCGGAGGTGGGCATCCGCCTCGGCCCAGTTCGCGCCGATCTGGCGGACGTCGGCGCCGAGGAGGCGCAGCTTGGAGATCATGAGCGGGGAGGTGGTCATGGGCACGACGATGGTGGCCCTGCGGTTGAGGGCGATGGCCGAGGTCGCGCAGGCGAGGCCGGCGTTGCCGCCCGAGGAGCAGTAGAAGTGGGATTCTTGGTCGGCGGGCGCGTCGGCGGCGGCGCGGACCATGAGGTTGCCTACGCCGCGGGACTTGAAGGAGCCTGAGGGTTGGAGGTTTTCAAGTTTGAGGTAGATGTTGCTGGAGTGGTGTCAGTTCAGAGCTGCGAGAATGGGTCTATGCAAGACACCATGGTGACTGACCATCCTGCTGCGCGAGACAAAGTAGCTGATGCGATGCATGGTGTTTGGATCCACGGCTTCTTGGTGTCTGGACTGAGAGAACCCATTGTCGCGGGTTTGACGAAGATGGAGGCTTGGTGATGGAGGCTTTTTCTCTGGTGCTGCCTCTGTGAACCGAATAGAGTTAGCCGGTGGGATTTATTTAAAGCACAGTTTGGTAAAGTCGGAGTAGCAAGTGGGTACACACATAAGTCCCTTTTTCGATGGGCCTTCAGCTCTGAGAAAATGAAGCTCAGATCTCGACGATGTTGGTGAGATGGAAAGTGAAGGGAAAAAGTTACCGATGCCTACTCCGAGAAACTTGTTCTCTGGGATTGAGACAAAGAACGGATCTGAATCAGCGTCAAGTGCTTAGTAAATAAGCCAATTCGTACGATTCTGGTAACGTTGGAAATTACCTCAATCATGTGTTGGATTTTATGTATAAGTTGATGACTGCCGGTAAAGAAGCTTCTCGATAACTTGCCAGGGCGTAACGTGGTCGACTAGCAGTGTCAAGTTACTGCATTGAGTCAAGTAAAGGGCGCACTTGCGGATGCGGGTGCACGGGGCCGGAACAGGGATCCGACGGCGTACCGGGAGCTTTGCCGATCGGTGGCCGGAAGCCGAGCCGGGGCACTTTAGCATGCCCGGCCTCCGGACACGGCGACAGCAACGGAGCCGACCTCCAGGCCGTCATTTTGAGGAATATATAATCCTCGGTACGCAAATCAAAGGAATCCCGTCGCCAGACGCGTTGACAAAGTAATCTTGCCTTCCTGAAGTACCACCAGCTGTGTTTGAGAGGCGTTGGGAAAAGACAGCAGTATGGAAAGGATCTCGGGGGGCACTGGACCCCCCCCCCCCCCCCAACGCTCTAAAAATAACAAAACTTAGTTGCAGTCTGTGGTTAGAGAAATAGAGTCAGGTTCTCTCGTCAGCGTGATCATGAGGCCAGAGTTCTTGTCAAGATTGATAGTCTGGAAGGATGGAACATGGACTAGGATTATTGTTTGCCCTCGTCCTGCCTAGCACTTTCCCGAGCTCTGTCTTGCCTAATACCTAGGCGGAAACCTGAATACACAGGAAGATGCCTTCATATACCCCCTCAAGTCCATTCCTGTCACCAACCAGCAGGCGCCTCTCTAGGTCGGGAGGTCAGGTCAAACTGGGATGGGTGGTGGAGTGGTTAAAGGTTAACAATCATCAATTACGCCCACAGCCTACTCGACGACAGGCTCCGAGTTCGATTCCCAGCATGAGCACCAAGAGATGTAGCCCCAGTTCAGCACCGGGGGGTGAACTCTTTTTGGGCCTCTAGAGTCTCTTTGCTTAGGAATCTTATTAGCTCTAGAACATTGATATCCGCTCCATCATTTGACAAAAATCAATGTTGCAGAACTAACTTCCTCCTCTGGTGATAGTTTGCCTATCTGCAACTGCTCCATACCCAGATACTTCTGCAGAAATCGTTGAAGTTGATTCCATTGCCCCCAAGAACGGATTCAGGGGAGCTCTTCCCGGGCAACCCAAAAGGTACTCCTTCCCTCTTCATTCTCTGCGCATTGAACAACCTCTCCTGCCTCCCAGGGCAATATAAAAGATATCAAGTGCTTATTTCACGAGTTTATCTTTTTGCTCTACTTCACCTCCAACACCTTATTGGCGCCTCGATTATTTCACCACAATATCATTCTACCAAAATAGTTCCTCTTCCATCGTCACAAACTTCTTTCCCAAGCAATCCAGCCGACGAGGCATACGACAATAAGCAAACCGCCGACCAAGGCTGAGAATCAAAGCAACGGGCAGCACACGTTACTCAAGACGGATTAGCTTTCCAAAATCTTTTTCTCCGTTGCTACCTTGCGAGGCTTTATTCTTCACGAAGGCACAACTGCAATCTCCAAGTCTCTTTTCCCCATACTTCACTGCCTCAGGGAACCATTGTCTCAAAGGAAGCAAGAGTCTTCGTAGCTCCTGCCTCTCGTTCTGGTTTGTCAGTTGACTTTTCCTTCCTCTTTATACTTGGAAGACAACGAGACTTGCCAACCGGGCACTTCATTATACAACAAGTTGAAGACTTGATCAAAGCACAATCTAAGAAGGCAAGCACGCTTTGATAGTGGGCTAGCGGGTTGTGAGCTTTACTATTTACTGACCAAACTAGCATTGACGGGGATTCTTTCAATCCCAAGTCATTTGCCACGAAACCCTATACAGACATACGCCTAAATATCTTAAGCATTTATTCTCTCGCCGGTTTTTGGAGTGCCAGATTCAACTTCAGACACAATCAGTCCCGATATCACTATCAGTTGCATCATGCCTCCAGCCAAGGTCTCCCGCGTGGCCAAGAGTTCCCGTGTGGTCAAGAAGCCGGTCACTGCAAGCGCACCTCGAAGCAAGACATCCGAGACCGCGTCTTCGAAGAAGAAACAGAAGATACGCGCCTCAGCCAAAAAGTCAAAGACTCCGAAGCCAGCTGAGACTACAATCGTCATCGCAGGCCACAAGCGGTCCATTGTCGTTGTCGAAGAAGACAGCAATGACGACGGCATGATTCAACCCAGAAAACGACGCAGAACTGGCGGCAACACTAACGCTCACGATTACCACGCCGTCCGCGAGAGGCCTCCGCCGCGTGACTATGGAGCAACCTTTGCGAGGAAGTCGACGGCCCATTTCACTTGGGGCGCTCCTTTGATGGCTCCTCCTCTGTCTCAATCTGCTCGGTCCGATTCGAAGAACAAGTCCGCGATTCCCCATACAAAAAGCAAAGAGGTAGTTCGTCCCGGAAGCTGGCAGGCGAGACCCAATACGGGTCGCTACAGCGGCATCTTATCAAGAACAGACACCCCGGAGTCGGAACCGGAGCCGGAGCCCAAGAGCCTTGGTTGCCCCTTTCTTCGAATCCCCCTCGAGATCAGAGAGGATATCTACAAGTACATCTTGGTCGCCGACGAGCCCATCCGAGTCCACCAGGGCTGGTCCGCAGTCTACCCCCGGAACAGAGTAGGCATCCGCACCGACCTCATCCGAACGTGCCGCCAAGTTAGAAAGGAGGCTCTCAACACCCTCTACGGCGAAAACACGTTCCTCTACCTCCTCCGCGACGCCGCCAAACTTCCCGCCCTTAACGCGCAGGGCGAGAACGAGATCGTGGTCCAGCACCCGCTCGCCACCGACGACGACGCCCTCTCCGACTACGAGGCAGACAGCGCGGACGAGGACTCTGACGGAGAAGACGATGTCACCAACGGGCCCTCGTCATTCCTGGCCGACGGCCACACGGCAGCCGACATTGATATCCGCCGCTTCGGCCACAAGTTCCGCAAGCTCATGATCGTCGCCGAGGCCAACCGCGCCAACGCGCCCTACCGCCTCAGCATGGCCAACGCCATCAACGTCTTCCGCGGCCTGCGGCCCATCCGCCCGCGCATCCACACCCTCACCATCGACATCACGCCCCAGCGCGACCCGCGCACGGGCGACGTCTCGTTTCTCGACTTTTTCGAGCGGTCTTCCGAGGTCGTCCGCACGCTCCGCGGCCTGCCGTGTCAGTTTATCGAGATTCTCGTCAACACGGGCGTCAGCGTCGGTAGCAGCAGCAGCGGCGGTGATGGCGATGGTAGCGGTGGCGATGGAAGTGATAACCCAGGAAAACAACGACAAGGCCAAGAGAAGATCGTCCTCAACATGAAGTACGCGGCCAACATCCGGCGCGCCAAGCGCGGCGAGAAGGACCTCTGGCGCGACGACAGGGTCATGCAGTCGTACCGCAGCGCCAAGGCGGGCGAGGCGCAGAAGAAGCTCGACTCGTTGCCGGCTGCGATCCGCAAGATTTGGGAGGCCTCGAATGGGCAGTTCAAGCGCCGTCAGCAGGACGAGTTCGGCGATGACGAAGACGATTATTGCTATGAGGATTGGGAGGATTCTCTTCTCTTTCAGGATGGGGCTTTTTGATTGCGTGGGTTTGCGTTCGGGAAGGGGTTTGTTTGCTTTGAAGTCTTTGATTTTGGTTCGCGGTGCGTTTTTCTTAGGAGACGAGAGAGAACTTGGGTGCTGAGGTCCAAAAGACGGTAGCATTTGGTCTCTTCTCCGGATTCGCAGATGCATAGGGAGATTTTACTCCTGCAGCCCCTTTGAGAGGGCGATTGGTTCATAGAGCATGCTCCACAGTGTTGAATTTCATCATTAGACCTTGAGAAATTGGAACCCATTAACTCAGAATCTCCGCTCCATGATGGAGATGTTTGCATTTTCTTCATAGCTCGAGGGTGGGGGTATATCAAATCATAAACCTTTTTATATGCTCTCCTTCACAGCCATTCCCAGCTCTCTCTCCCTTTCTCTCTCGTCCCATCATGATGCCGCTGCTGAAGTCGCCGTGATCTTAACCTTTGAAACCTCCAGCGTCTCCGTGTCCACCAACACCACCTCCTTGGTCTCTGCAAAAGACGGCACAGTAATCAGCCGGACCTGCTGCCCGTCGCCGCCCTCAATGACCTTTGTCGAGAACTCGGGCTGGCATCCGACGAAGAAGAGGTGCGGCGCATTCTTCATGACGAACGGGTCGTCGTCTTGGAAGGGATAGGCCCCTGAAATAATAGCAATCAGTCAAGTGGTCATCTTCAAAGAAGGGGATAAATTAAGGGGCAAAACTCACAAAGCGTATCTGGCGCGGTCGGCGCACTGCACCGCCACCTACACATGGCCTCCATCATGCCGAGCCGGTCGTCGCTGTCGACGTACTTGAAGACGTCGTCGACGTTTTGCCCGCCGGTGCCGAGGACCCGCCAGCCGTCGACCTCGCCCTCCCAGGGGTTCGTCGTGGTGTCGAGCCAGCCGGGCTCCTTGGCGTCCGGCGCGGCGCAGTAGGGCCGCGAGCGAGGGAACATGGCGGCGTGGATCGGCTGCTGCGGGTAGCTCGCGTTGGCCGGGTCCTGGGGGCCCGGCATGAGGGTGACGGGGAGGGAGGGGAGGAGGTCGGCGAGGAAGTCGTCAAAGAGCTGGCTTGGGAGCGGGTTGTAGGCGCTCGCGTCGTAACCGTATTTTTTGATGGTGGACGAGGCTTTGCTGGTGCCGTTGGTTGTGGTTGCGGTTGTGTCGGTTGTGTCGGTTGTGGCGGCGGTGGTGTCGATGGAGTTTCCTGCGATGATGAGGCGGGAGATGGTGCTGAGCTCGGATTGGGTCGCTGGGGAGAGGGCTTCGCCGAGGAGGTATTCTTGGAGGAGGGAGAGTTCGAGAGCGTAGGAGGCGTCTGTGCCTGAGAAGGAGAGGCCCGAGACGATGGCGATCTTGGAGGAGGGGCGTTTTTGGGACGGTGTGCCGGACATGTCGTGGTCTTCTGAGGGGTCGTTTGCGAGGGTCCAGCGGGTTGGTTGGGGCGCGACGTCGGGGAACTTTACGTCGATGACTTCGAGCTCGCCGTTTGCGTTTTCGGAGCCCATTACGCCAATGATTGTGCCCGTGACTAGGTGGATGGACTTGAGGATGTCGCCGACGAGGCGAATGCGGCCCGAGTCGTCTTCGAGCATGATTGTGTCCTTGTCTTCGTCCGAGTAGTAGCGGTCCGTGGAGATGGGGGCAGAGATCCAACGCTGTGTTTCTTCGTTAGTCCCCAGAATTTGGATACAGCTCGAAAAGGGGGAAGAGAGGTCATGGACGTACGTCCTTGGAGACGTCCTCCAAGATATTGGGCTTCAACGCCATGTCCATGTAGACCGTCCCCGTCACCCAGCACAGCTCGCCCTGGCGGACGTCGAGAACACGGTTGACATGGCGGGCCTCCTCGCCGCCTATGACGGTACCGTCCCACGCCTCGGCTGCGACTGCGTCGACGGCGGGCCGGATGGAGGTGAGGCGCAGGAAGTAGACGTCGGCATACTGCTGCTGGTACGAACGGTCTTTGGCGAGGTCAAAAGTGTGGAGGGGTTTGTAGGTTGACGGTGCGCGGACGAGATTCGACGAGGATGCAGTTGCGTCGCTGTGGTTAAAGGAAGCTGGTTAGCGAGCTTCTAGGTTTATAGATCAATAGGAACGAACACACGCTGGCTTTTGGAGAAGCGCGGTGGCTTCTTCGAGGGTGACCATTGCAGCAGATGAGTTGTGTGTTTCTTTCGACACTTGCTGACGGCTGATGTGATGTGACTGAGCTGCAAAGAGCTTTTGCGTAGTGTCAATGGGCGTGGTGGATGTGTGAAGCCGGGATGTGAATTGAATGCGCACATCAGACGCGTCGGAGGACTCTAGGCTGGCAAAAGTCGCGAATTTTGGCGTTAATTGTGGTTGGGAGGGGTTGCTCCCCTGTACTCCGTAGGCTGTCCTGGCTGTGGCTTACTGCCCCCGGGGAGGGCCCCGCCCCGGTGCTTGGAGCGGCCCGGAGAGACGGTTCAGGGACTGTGCCCTCCGTCCGTTCAGTGTGGTTCACCTAGCCTGAAAGTCAATTGGATGGCGGGGTTCCCTTGCAAAGTTGCTCCCTGTGTGTGTCATCAGTCGCCCTTCTGGAATGAGAATGAGGGGCACTTTTTTTTTTCCTCCCTCCCCCGCCATCCCGCTGGGCTTTGGTTAACTCTGTTGCTAGTCCAATGCGCGGTAAAGTGTTAAGACATCTGGATTTGGGCCCCTCGGTCTCCGTCTTCCCGTAGTATCGCCGGAGGGTCAGGTCATGACGCCTTTAGTCTGTAGGCGGTGTGAATGATGCATCGCCTGCCTTTTTTGCCCTTGCTTCACACCTCCCTCTCTCCCTCTCTGCATATTTCTTAGTCTCTCATGACCAAACTCGTGCTCTTTTCTCTGCCGTTTCATTCACTTTCATACTTCTTAGATTTCACTGTCGACAACTTCACCAACACAAAACCTTCACAATGGCCCAAAAATCGCCCACGATCGAGGTGACAAACCTCAGCTACAACTTCCAAGACTCGAGCTCCGGCCTCAAGAACATCTCCCTCTCCGTCCCCTCCCGCTCCCGCACCCTCCTCATCGGCGCCAACGGCGCAGGCAAGACCACCCTCCTCCGCCTCCTCGCCGGCAAGCGCCTCGCCCCGCAAGGCGGCATCTCCATCGCGGGCATCGACCCCTTCAAGGACGGCCTCGAGGGCGTCACCTACCTCGGCCTCGAGTGGGTCCTCAACCCCATCGTCCGCACCGACATTGGCGTCCTCGAGCTCCTGAGGTCCGTCGGCGGCGACGCCTACCCGGACCGCCGCGACGAGCTCGTCAGCGTCCTCGACATCGACACCGCCTGGCGCATGCACGCCGTCTCGGACGGCGAGCGCCGCCGCGTCCAGCTCGCCATGGGCCTCATCCGGCCCTGGACCATCCTCCTGCTCGACGAGATCACCGTCGACCTCGACGTCCTCAGCCGCGCCGAGTTCCTCGCCTGGCTGCGCCGCGAGACGGAGATCCGCGACTGCACTATCGTCTATGCGACGCACATCCTCGACAACCTCGCCGGCTGGCCCACGCACTTGGTGCACATGCACCTCGGCACCGTCCGCGAGTGGGACACGGCCGACAAGTTCATCGAGGGCCTCGACGGCTCCACGGGCAACAGCACCCTCGGCGAGCTGGTCCTCGGCTGGCTGCGCAAGGATCTCAAGGACCGCGGCCCGAGATCGCAGGCGAGGGTCGCGCCTGAGGGCAAGACGTACGCGACTGGCGGCCTTGGAGGCTACGGCGACGAGTCTGATAAGCTGAAATAAGCTTGTTCATGTTTGACGAAAGTTTGGAGCAGCTAGAGGGGTTCGGCTGGTGATTGGCGTGATTCAACAATTTGGGTCCTTTTTTCAAGATTTCTGTCTGCATTTTGCTAGAGAGAATGGCGTCTACGGCACTCAACTGCATCAGGGACGGCGTTTTTGCGTTTTTTGTTTTCAACATTGTGATGCGGCGACCAAGGGGGTCGATAACCGCATCGGTGTGTCTTTCAACTTAGACCACGGCATACAGAGAAAGGCAAGGCTATGGTACAGACCGAACGAAACGAGGGGAGAACAAGGGGGGGGCACTCTCAACCGGCCTCGCTCGGTGGCGGCGTTTGGTCATGTAGTAGACCTCTTCAACGAGGGGACGGGCACAGTCCTCATGGGCTCATTTTCTTTTAGGATTTCCACGGCTTTAGAGATACCCTATGTCTTCAACCAAAAAGGGAGGCGTGACGTTTGGAAGGAGGATCAGCTGTCGACTCAACTAGACAGATATGAACAAGTCATGCAATAGAATGTCAGAAAGACATCTACTTTGAAAATTGCGCTACTCATCTCTGAAAAGGGGGTATCATAAATGCAGATGTTCCGAGCCTGTTGCCGGCATGAGGCGAGCCGTGTCATGGCAACATGGCGTCTCTATGTAGCACTCTTGGAGCTCATGAGGACCTTCATCGTGTTCTTCATCAACGACGGGATGCCGCCCAATCCCTTGCCCTCCAATGCCCGCAGCACAATGATCCTATACTCGGACCAAGTGATGCGCAACCCCCTTGCGTCTGCCAACCTCGCTAAACTGTTCGACGTCACCGGCCCCGCGTGCCGTGTGGAGATGGCGTCGTCGTTCGCAGCCAGCTCACGATCCTCCAGGTCGCGGATACACTCGATGGCCTGCAAGCTCAACAGCGGCGAGTAGGAGAACCCAAACAGCGTCGGAAGCGCAAGGTCCATGCCCAGGTCTTCGACATATCTGCGCAGCCGCTGTGTGACGGGGCCCGCGCTAAGGCAGCCGAGAGCGTTCTTATCACCATCGTTGAAAGCCTTGCCGCGCCAGAGGCAGTTGCAAATGTCCATGAGGTACCCGTTGAAATGGTTCACGTAGCTCGGGGCATACGTTGTCGGCTGCCGCCGGGACATGGCCATCTCGAAGCCCTTCTTGTATATGGCGAGGACGGTGCACAGGCGCGACACGTTTGCTAGGGAGTGGCTGAAGAAGAGGAGGTAGATGAGCTGCGCGGGCGGATTGGCAATGCGGAGGAGAGGTTGAAGTGTAGGGTCAGAGATGCTGGCGGCAGCCTGTTCATATAGGTCGAGGACACCGCCGTGGACAGCCGCGCTGGGGGAAGCTTGGACAACGTTGAGGGCGATGATGCTTGCGTGCTCCATGACTGCGAAAAAGGCACTGACGGGGGCATCTTTGGGTATTTGGTCAAGCGAGTTGAGAACAAAGGTCCAGCGGCGGAGGAGGTTTTGGTAAAGTTTGAGCAGTGCTAGCTGCGACTCGGCCGTTGGAGGAAGGCACTTCTCTAGTGGCTTCAGAATCACATTGTACAGCTCTGTTACACAGTCAGAAAAGTCGATGAAGAAAGCGAGATTGGAACGCTTGCCATCGAACACAACGAGAGGCGCGTACTGGAGGATGCCTAGGATGGAATCCCGAGCATCAACACCGTTCCATGTCGGAAATAGTTTCGTCAAAAATTGTAAGACGACGGGTGGAGTTTCCTTTACAGTCAGCGAGACTCAACCAAGGCCGTTTGCCACACTTACTTTGACACGAGCCACGTATTCCTCCAGCATTTTCATCGTCTCCGCAAACGACTTGTCATCGGCATTACCGTTGAGCACGTCTTCGAGTACGGCATTGATCCAATGAACCACCCGCTTTGAAGCGGTGTCATCCTTTTTCAGGGCCACGAACTTCTGCAAAAGGGGGTCCGCTAGCACAGCCGCAAGCTGGTTAGGTAGCTCAATCTTCTCGACTGTCTGAGCAAGACGATCGGCGCTATCAATCTCTTCCAAAGTGACGGAGGTCTTTTGTACTTGTTAGCCAGGCACATCCATTATCTGGCTGTGTTTCCTCCGAACGCTTACCTCTGTGGCTTCTGAGGTATAGACAGGAGGCAGGTTTGACGACTTATTGCCGCGGGCCCGTAAAGCCTGATGGTTGACGCTGAAGCCGTTCTGAGGTTGACCGGCTGCTTCAGCAGTCCGTTGAGAATGGTCTCGTTGGATCTCATTTAACCTTTCGCGCCATTCCACGTCGGGGTGCTACCAAATCAGTACGGGTATCTCCTGAACGTCGTGGCGCCTCTCACCTTGAATGCCGAGGCCCTGCCCCTCAAGGCATCGCTGACGATGATCTCAGGATAGTAGTCTTTGAAGACCCGGAGGAGCCCTGTCAATGCTGGGTCATTTCCTGTTTGCCTGGAGAGGTTGAGGCTGAGATGTGCCATTAGCGCCGAGAACCACCTGCGATTGCAGAGGGACCAACTTACACAGCTTGGATCCTAAAAGGCCGGACGTGTTTTCTGCGTGTGATCAAGGCGAGTAGATGGCAAAGTTGCGGTCTGGAGTCGTGTTAGCCCCTTTTCCGTTCGCAACAGAGGAAGAGTCCGCACCGAATGGTTGCCGTATCTAGCAAGTTGAACAAAACAGCGTAGGCTTGCGACAAGATGGCAGGTTTTTCGATGACATGGTATGCCATAATGAGCCATTTCAGAATGTTCGACTGCAGAACCAGGGAAGGCTTCAGTTCCCCGTGGCCGAGGCATCCCACCACCCTCAGGACGACATCACTGGATAGCCGAGTAGCGGGGTAAAGATTCTTGAGTATCGTATTCAAGCTTGCCTGATCCAACAGGTTTGGCCTCGTGAGTAGGTCAATGAGTTCGCTCAAGGAGTCGGGAAGAAGGCCATTTTCAAATGCGTATGATGCGACCTTCTCAACAGTAGGCTTGATGCTGGTCGCCCGCCGTTTTGCAGGCAGTTTGGAAGCTGTACGAATGAGATGGATTTGGGTCAATGCATGGACTGCACATGTGAGGGGATTTACTCACCCTCCACAACATCGCCAATCAGGAGGTCAACGTCAAGGTCAACGTCTATGTTCATAGACGTATCGTTGGTGGGCGAAGCCATTCTACCAGGTACGTCGGCGTCTTGAAATTGCGACACTCTTTTTGTGCCGGATTTCCAATGGATGGATACAGTGTGGCGACATTAGATGAGGCAGGCGGGTCAAGCGTCGTCGTCAAGTCGCAGCATGGGTTGGCAGGCCCGAGCTGTCCAGAACGGTGAATGAGAGTGGCAGACGCGTCGCGGGGTGAAGATCAAGGTGAGCGCGTCCAGACCGGGAAAACTGCACCGTGCACTCGGACCTTGTCACTTTTATGGGTCCATTCCCCCATTGGCTGCATAGAGCCGGTATGGGTCCGTTCTTCGGCGCCCAGCGTCCGGGGTCACTGGCCGGAGCAAGCTCCATCCTCAGCAATTCGCTAAAACAGGTGCAGGCCCAGAGCCGGAGCAGCAGAGCTGTCTTCGACTCCTTACAAGGTGTCGGATTCGATGTGGGGGTGGGCTTTCGGTCAGCAGTGTACGCAAGGAGCGCGAATGTGCGCGGGACAGGGAGGCATCAGCAGCAGCACGCCTCGGTGAAGAGTTGGGCGAGGCCGGGCGAGGCCAGGCGAGAGCCCCTGTGTTGTTGCACCGCTGTCTAGGTCCTGCGGGTAAATGAAGAGCCTGCAGAGAAGGCATGTCATGACCTGAGAATCTGACCACAGTTGAAATTTGCCCCCGTGCTGATTGATGGATATCTGCTCCGGTACGAATACGGCCTTTGGTGATTTGGACCCCAAAACTTCGTCTCTGTGGGCGGCGGGGAACAGCAAATGGACAAGCCTGAGCAGTTGCAAAAGATGCTCATCGGTCTGGGAGTATCCAATTGCTGGCCATTGACATTGTGGCAAACCTTCCGGACCGTAAGCGGCGCATATGCCGTCTTGGCTGCCATGGCTGCCGCTCATTTGGTCTCTGGGGTCCATAGCGGGGGGACTGATGTGAGATATGAGGTGCAGTCATCCAAAGAGTCGAGATTTGCGGGCTTGCAGCAGGTTCATGGGAAAAGATGACGAGGACGATTCGGCTCCGGCTGCGAATGATGTCGCTTCTACCCGGCCTGCTCCTAGCTTTTACGTCGCGGCTACGGGGTTCGGGTAGGAACTGTCGACAAGAGGCAGGTACACATGCACGGTAGTAGCAAAAGGGAAGGAAGAGGGATATTCATGGTCTTGTTTGGGGTTACACAAGGCAACTTGAAAGTATCATTTGCTGCAACCGCGGTCTGCAACTGGTTACGTCTGGCCTGGAGAGAGGAGAGAGGCACGGCCCCCAGTAAGGTAGGAAGATATTAAAGTGGACTTGCTTACACAGTAGGGCGCATGATGCCCATGTATGGCAGGGTATCTCGACATGGCTTTCCGTCTTTTGGCATGGAGACGAAAGACTCTGTTCTTTTCGTCAGGGAAAGTCCGAGGCGAACGTGAGATGATGCGACGAACCGGTCAAAGTCTTGATGGCTGAGGGTGGTACTTACGTGATGTACTTTACGGAAAGAAAAGGTACGACGAATACGGCACGAAGAGACGTATCTATCGACTGATGACATCTTGGGCCGTTAGTTACCTGAGGTAATAGGTAAGTACCGTACCCGTTCCAGAAACGCCCGTGCTCACCGTTGTATACCGCCATCCCGACGCTCCGTCCCGCCAAGTTCCTGCGTAACCTCTGACCTCGCGCCTACTACCCACGGCTACCTTAGTTGCTTACCTTGCCTTCGCCGACGTCTCTCACCGTAACACCAACACTGCTTACCTTGCCTTACCTTGGACAACTACTGCGTAGGTAGCTAGGTAGCTGCCTCTCAATGACAGGGTTGCTTCGAAACAACCTGCAACCTCCAACAGTCGCATCCTGCAGAAATACAACTGGCTCCAACATTGCCCTCATCTGGCCAAGCTCGCTGACCGAGGCGTCAGAAGCGCCTCATCCCTAACATAATCTACGCAGTAGCGCCATCTTTACCTGCTGTTCCACAAACTGGGAACGCAAATGCCTCGCAAGAATCCTTCTGTTCTCTGATCCCGTCACATCCTTCTCTGAGGTCCAGTGCTTCGTACAAACCTCCACCTTGGTGCGCGAGGTCATTGTCGCCTCCACTTCTGACTGCATGTTTTGTTCAAGACCACGGTGACCGAGGTGTCGATTCAGGTCTCATGACTCCTCACGGCACTTTGGCCTGGTCACTGACATCGTTCCAGCTTCGCATCAACACTGCCTACAGACTAGGAGTTGGGACAGACTGACCGTGTTCGGGCCTTACAACTCTTCCAAGTTATGTAACGTCTCTCCCTCGTTTGACCAAATCATCCGAGCGACGACTCTGCTCGCCATGTGTCTTTCGGATTTCTCGCTCTGTGCCTCACATATCATTATCAGTCGCGGCCCGATGTCTCCACAGCCGAGAGAGGACCGAATGAACTTGGGCATGGGCATCTCCCCTGTTTGTGCCGCCTTTTCCTCGTCCCCTTTCGTCGGTAGGATTCTCCCAGTAAACCCTATTTTTCACACCCCGACAAGCACACAAACTCCCCCCAAAGCCGGCCCTGCCAGAACTACGCAAGCCTCCTATGTTTCCCTGGACCTTCTACTTTCAGCAGGCTTTTCCAGGGCAATCGTTGGTTGGAAGCTCCAAAACCATGGCCACGGATGGCAGGCGACGATAGCAAGCCGCAAGCCGGCTTCCACTAGAAGCGGCGACTTTGCCTGGACGAATGATCGAGGCAGACCGCATACACCGATAGCTACTATTGTTCCGTCTTGACTTCTCTCCTTGGCAGACTGGACCACCTTCACCCGCTACCGTGGGGGCTTTGCGACCTTCTATGACAGCGTAGTGTGCCTTGAGGTCCAATCTATCGCAGCATGGGCTTGGCTCTGTGTCACCTTTCGGCCGTCAGGTGTAGTGGCGTCTGCTTACCGCAGTTCCCATCTCACCTCACCTCGAGGTGGTCACTATACACCGCGCGCCGCACGCCGCATGCCGGACGCCAATTTCGTCTGCAGCAGCGTTGTGTAACCTTCTCTAATAACCCTCATGTTGCTAAGTGGCACTTGCAAGGCTCGGTTGGTGGTCAGCACATCGAGGTAAAAGATCCGTCCGTCAACGCTCCGTTATCCCCCCTTCCATCCATGATCCAAGAGCAACTTCATCCAGAGTACCTAGTAAGCTAAGGGTGACGGACGTATTACCGCTCCGTACCGCGCCGGTTACATTGGATCCATCCGTCCATTCATCCTTCCCTCCCTCCCACCATTCTTCATTCCATGGGTACACACGCACACACGTACGCACGCGTGCACACCTCTGTCTATCCGTACAACCAACTTGGTTATTGCATCAGTCAGACGAGTGTCCCCCAGACCAGGGACCACAGAGCCCTTGATTTGGTAACCTGCTACAAAGACCCACCACCCACGGTGAGGAAGCGTGGATGGCCCTCGACCTTGACCGCTGGGCATCTTTTCACCTCGTGTCCTACTCGTTCTCACATACCCGTTCTCAAGTTATGCATCTGCTGATGATGCCTCCATGCATATCCTCTTTCGAGATTTCCCCCTCCATGTTGCCCATCGGTCCCCATCTTTGTAGGAAATCTGGCTGACTGGCTGTGTTGTGCTGTCCCTTCGGCCTGGTCGTGCCCTCGGTCGGTCGCCTCTACTGCACACCCCACTCTCTCTACTGCCCTCATGCACTTCCTCCCACACCTATCAAGTTAAAGATCTCTGTCGAGTCTATCGCCCTCTTAGACGCGGCCCTGCTCCCAGCCCTTTGAGGTATGTGTAACCAATCCTCACGTTTGTAAATATGTGTCTTCTAACATTTAGTCTGGTTGTTCCCTCAAGACTTGCTTGCCCAGGTGCCAGGTGCCATCGAGTTGATTGACGTTTAGTCTCCTCGAACAAGTTGAATGACAACAACAGTCAGCGCTTCGCGACAACATCGAACAGTCGAGGATATATTTCTCAACCTTATCTACTTTCGACATTTATCCTGGTCTCTTCTGCTGCTCTAGCAACGCAGAGCACACATCGAACCATTCCAATTCACATCTCTTTCGCCTTGACCTGCCCTAGTGCTTATCGTCTTACATCTGGCCCATCACTCAAATCTTCTCTACTCAACAAAATCTCTTTAACCAGCTAGACACTGGGCCAACAGACGACTGCGCTTCTGGGTCGGCCCATTGCCAATAGCCGCAGCTGTCGTGCGCTGGCTCGTGACATCGTGGCAGAAAGTGGTCCTGGCGACGGGACGAGCAGCAAACGAATCGTCTCATGCCGTTCGCACGGAATTCCTCTTATACAGGCCTAGTAAGTCCAAAAAGCCACCGCTTCCTACCTGACGCTTACTCACCTTACACGGCGCTAATCTGTGTAACCGGGCGCTGACTTGACATAGGGATGAGCTGAAGCGACCGCAACTGACTATCTCCGCCATGAGGTATTCCCCGGAAATGCAGATCGATCACCATGTCACGTCTAAGAAAAGCCCAAAGTCTACACAAACTACCCCAACCATGTTACTATGGGACCGACAAGACTGTATTCCCCTGAGAAGAATTTTATCGGAAGACGACATAATCGTACTGCTCACGCCTGTTGTTATTCCTCACAACAGATTCGCAGACAACGACAAGGATCCCTTCGAACCGTTGGGCCGTGCCATTGCTTCGCAGCACCCATTGGTCCGCCATGTGCCATATACAAAAAGAGGCGGCATCACCAACGTTCACTACGAGTTCATCAAAAGGGCAAAAGCCATCGTTTTTGTCATCTCTGGAGCTCATGTGGACGATGATGTCTCGCAAATCGACTTGGCCGATGCCGCACGAACAATGGCAGACGAGCGACCGCAGATCATAGTAGCTTGCTGCAACCTCCAAACCCAGAACCTACACGTCGACCACTTTGCAACGCTTGTGCAAATCGCAGGCTACTCGCCATCTGAGCTAGAAGCTGCTGCTTCCATCATCTTTGACGACGTTCGTCCACCTACCATCAGCTCAGTTCCCGTACAAAACCTCATCATCGCCCCAAGAACTTGGGATGTCGAAGTCTGCGGTATAGACATGGGCCCTATCCATCAGTTGTGGACGGAATGCCTTCCACCCAAATTTCACCTTCCGCAGTACCAGCTTGTCCTGCTCCTCCAGAGAGATGGCTTTTCCAGGCACTATGTCGTGCGCGAACCAGAAAACAAGCAGATTGTGGGCTTTTGCGCTACATTTACCACGTATCCAGATGGGGGGCAAGAGAATCTGCTCGGCTCGGTAGCCGTATTGATTGTCAAAAACCCATACCGCGGAAGAGGTGTCGGATTGACACTACATAACTATGCCCTTAAACAGCTCCAGAGAACCCGGGGCGTCAATAGGCTGCAACTGGGATCAGCCTTTCCACGTCTCTTTTACGGCGTGCCGTCTGATTTCTTCTCACGAGACTGGTTTTCACGTCGAGGCTGGAATATGGATGGGTTCCAGCCTGGCCAAGGACAGGAGGTCTCAGACTGGCTCCTCAAATTCGAAGACATGCCCGCAAAGAGCTTTTCGTCAGCTGGACTGACTTTCAGGCGATGCGACATGATGGAGTACCACCAGGTTCTAGAAATCGTCAGTCGAGACGTGGCTCGCAAAGATAATATGGGATGGTACGACCAATACTGCAACCTGGACGGCACATCTCACATTGAGGATGTCGTTCTCGGTCTGGAAGGTGACACTATTGTAGCTGTTGCTTTGACCTACATTCCCAATTCTGGGAGTCCAGCCGGCAACGACCTGCCGTGGGCGAAAGCCATTGGCGCGGATGCGGGGGGAGTAACCTGCATTTGCATCATAGGTTTGTGGTCACGCTGAACATGTCTAGTGGTTTTTTCCTGCTGACTCTTGATTCAGATGACCATCCGGAAATGGTGAACAGTCGGGACTCTGTGATGATCAGGCTGCTCGATACGTGTGTCAAGTTGTTGGCTGAGCAAGGCATGCGACAACTGTTCATCGACGGCATGAAAGGAGGGGATGACGGTTTCCAATCTCTGGGTAAGTGCGATGATTGTGCGAGAAAGCGTCCCACTAATTTAGCTGAAAAGGTTTCCGGCAATGGGCGCGATACAAGGAAGTTTGGCGAAAGGTTTAAGATACGTCTATGAATCCCGTCGGCCAGCAAACGCTACATCAGGATGCGGTATCCCACGCTTCACAAGATTTGCAGACGTTACTCAGCAGTCATTGAAATCCTCGGCGCAATATTGCAGAACGGAGGATTTCAAATCCCGAAACTATTCTCCACCTTCAATGATGGAACAAATCCATTGTCGACCCAAACTGCTTAGACATTGGCAGGGTAGTCAAATCGGCACCAGCCACCAACGCGTATCGAAATCGAGGAACTGCTGCTCGAGATACCGCGTATTAATACCAGCAAGAGTTTCTAAATTCAGCAACGGCGTGACTTTTCTTTTCAATGCGACTTCAGACAGAGGACTTTGCGATAGTCAGCAGAGTGTCCAATCGCGCTTCTTGGCGTGCTGACCATGTCTGACACTGGCACATCATGAGCACTCGTGGCACCTATCATGGCCATCCCTTCGGATCTAGATGCTCCTTTTCGGCTCTGCTCAAGTCGAACATCCGTTTACCACCCTCCAAAAACTCACATTCCCCGCGCCACGTTTTATCCATTGTTACATTGAGATCAAAGACACGCGTGTAGCGCGATCTTCCTTCTGAGTCTTTGATGGGCTACATATGCATGAAGCTTGACGACAGTACAAGGGTTCAAGAACACAAGGCACGTCAGACTGGTCAAGCACGTTGAACAGCTAATTGGTTCAATCGCAACTTTTGGCCTTGTTCCGACTATCTCGATGAAGACGGACCCCCCAGCCCCAAGACTTTTTCTTGGCCATTTCGATGTCAATAGAGGCACAATCTCAGTCAGAGGGCATTCCGAGTATCGAATTGAACACGCCGATAAGGGCTCATATCACCGGTGCCGATCAGACGCATTTTGGACAGCTTCTGAAGCATGATTCTGATCTTCATACTGTCACCCGCAATGAGCAAGAGGCCATTGACGCCCAACCGACGATCACGAAACATGTCGCTTCCAGTCGTGCCAGGCACGTCCCATCGGTACGCTGCGCCATAGGATCATGGTGTTGGCACCGTCGATCACGCAGACCGAATACCGGGGAAACTTGTCTTGAATAGATTGACCCTCGAGCTCAAGGCCAACTGAAGGAAGAGAGGACTCAATGGTCCGACATATTCCAACACACAGACCCTCCGGTTTCCATTGCATAGTCCCCGGGCCTAGGCTATGCAAAACTGCAGAGTCCTCCACGCTCCCTTGACTTCCTTCTACTAAGGGGTTCAAGGGGGGAGAGAAACTCGGTGGATTGTTGACCGGGAGCAGCCGAGCCAAACCGACAACTCCTTTAGCGTCCGGCATCCCGGTCATGTCAGCCAGCGGGGTTATCTCCGTCTCACGGCCCAACCAGTCCCTTCCAGTAACATAGCAAGTTGACAAATGACAACCAACCGACCACCCTGGTTCCCCAGATCCCTGGTCACAGGTACCGTCTTTTTTGGTGTCAGAAATGCACGTTGGATCACACCCAGAAAAGGCTTAGTAAATTTATCTTGTTAAGCAATGGCCCCCCCTCGCCTAAACTTGCCAAACAACGAGTAAACATTCCCAGCTTCTGCGCAGCCTGATATAGTATTCCGGCGCAAACCCAGGTTAAGATGTTTGACTCAACGCCGTTTCTCCTCTGCAAGCTGACCGTTATTTCACTAGAACTTGACTCCGTATCAAATCGGCCAGCTTCAACAACAGACAGCCTACAACTTGCGCCCATCCAAGCGGTCGGGTATGAAGATGAACTTAGGCGTACATAACGGTGGCCGCAAATCGGCCCACTCCTGCCAATGCCTACCGTGAACCACACGGCTGACGAACCCAGATTCTGTTGGCGCAGAATAGTAGCGTAATAGTCACACTTTGCTGACATGGTCGCCAAGGCAGGCCAATTATTATTTCTTGGGGGACGAATCTTCTTTTCAGACCCCAAGCGGCACAGTCAAGGTCGGGAAAGCCCCATAAACCTCGGGCGTCGTCGATGTTGTGCCTCTTACTCTCACCGCCGATCCAAGCACGTCTTTTGATGTAACTCATCAAGAATCATATCCGAACCCAGCTACAGCTCTATCAAACGGACGGTGGACCAATCCGTGCGTGTATGTGCGTGTATGCGTGTGTGTGAGTGTGTGTGTGTGTGCGACGGACTTGTTTCTTCTTCGCGTTTACCGAACGCACCAAGAAGGCTATCCTATCCCAGCACAGCACAAAACTGACGAAAAGCTGACGCGCAGGAGCGCAGGGAAAAAAAGGAGCCAGGGGTGAAACTTGCAATGGGCTTATGGGTGAGAAAAAAAAAAAACAGGAGGGGGAGGGGGAAAAGGTGGGCAACACCGCCGCCGCTGCCCTTTGAGTGACCGCCACGAACACACCACAGGGATTTTCTCGGCAACCCACTGGATCATCTGCTTTGTGCGACCAGAGACTTTTAAAGGATCGGGCGCTTGATGCGACAAAGCGGGCACGACGTTATCGGCTCTTTCTTTGCGCAGTAGGTAGCGTGGATGACTCCCTAATACCGTCGATCGAGAGACGCCATGGTTAGCTAGAAGTACATGAAGAAGGCTTATGGAAGGAGACTCCGATGGTAAGCTGGCTGGTGGGCTCGGATCTTGTGCCGCTGTCGGGTTTGCCAGCTGCCTGCCTCCTCTCCCTCCCTTTCCCCAATCCCAAAGGACGAATGTGAATCGGGACTGCTTTCCGTCTTCAACTCTCTTCTGGCAAGTATTTCCCCTGACTTTCCAGATCCCGAGGAGCTGGGAGCCCTGACTACGTCGCTCGGTCGTGGGACGTAATTAGTCGTTGGGCAAGGTCTGTTTTTCTTCAATATTTGTCCTCGAGGCGCTCTTTGGACGAGGGGATCTGCCCTTACTCAAAGTCGTCCATCTTATGAGATGTGAGATCGATCTGTATCTTTGCCTCACGAACAGAGCATACATACAAAAGGAGGGCCTGCCGTCGGTATGATACATCCGAGGATGGAATCGGAGGGTGCCGAGCAGCCGAACGCCCTTGCAGGACGTTGAGAGCTGAAAAGTGGACGACGGCATGGAATGTGCATATGCATCTGTCTAAGGAATCGTGATGAACGAGTCAGTGTCGGAGAGTTAGGTAGTCAAGTCAGTATGATTGATCAAGAGGTACCGAATGCAGGGAGATTGTCATCACTTGAGGGATTTGATCTGAAGCCGAGAGATGGAACCCCTTCCTTCCCAGCTTCTCATGGATCCGAGTGGTAATCGCTCTCGCCAAGAGAGAACGTTGAACAAAAGATCAAACTGTGTATCCTGTATGCTAACCCGCCAAGATGTTGCTATCTTTTGCTCCAAAGTGATCAAATGGAGGCTGTGAGGATATATTCCTTGGCGTAGTGGCAGTCTATGCCAGAGGATTCTGATACGAGAGCTCTAGAAATAGATGGTGGTAGCTCACTATGGAATTGTTGAGCCGTCAAAGTGAGGGAAACGTGAAGCATTGAGGAAACCCTCGGCGAGGGGGCAGTATACTACCGCGAGTCTAGCAATGTTTAAATGGTATCAAAACTTAATTCGAAGCAGGGGTTGTTAACAGGTTAGATAGAGAGACCGTCATGAGGATTAAGATACGGCTTGATGTAAATGTAGGACTCGATTTATCCCCCGTATCGAGCGAAATAAGACAAAGATATTTGAAAGGGTATTAGTTGCTCTTTGGCAAAGCTCTCTCTCCTATAAATTTAGTTGTTGGTTTTGCTACGGAAGAGCAATCCGAATTCCTTGAGGGCAGAGTTCCAGTGAGATTTCACCCCTGATACAACGTTCCAACGCCAAGCCCCATAGACCAACGAAAAACAGCGTCGATTCGGTGCGAACCGTATAAATCAGTTGGTGCGGTTTGTTACGTGACACGATTGCCGACCTTTTGGCAGCCTCAAATCAAAATTCTGACTCTGCGTAGAGTTGGGCCGGTAGGGTATTGAAAGTGTTCTTCATCGTGCGCTGAGTCTGGTGGGAAATACCCCAAGGTGATTCGAGGCGCCTGTTGCGCTATATACACTTTTGAAAACCAGCTCAATTCTATCTATCTGTACTGCCGCGGAAGGCTTTTAAAGAGGGGGAGGTCTTATCTCGAAAGCCACGCTCTGCGAAAGAAGAAAAACCTTGTCCTACCACCTAAGAAATCTAGAGCGGTCGAGGGGGGAATTAGTGAGCCAATGAGCGCCATGATGGATGAAATGGGCTGGCGTCGGAGAGAGGGCTGCGGGATCGCAACGTCGATTTATACAATTTTGACTTTTGTGGACCACGGGCCTAGAACGTGGTCTCAAGTACTATATCATGGACCGATATCGTCATGTGCTATGTGTTTGATTGAAAGGAGGGGTAGACGGAGGTCTGCGAGGTAGCTTGTACATTGATCGTGGGAATTTTGGTGGCGTTTAGCTTTTGAGGTTTGGAGTCTGTGGCATTCTTGGCTTCCGTTTCAGCTGTTTTGTTTACAGTTTACTTGATCCTATAAACGCCCTCAAGGTTTTGAGGGCGTTGCTTTTTCGATATAGGCTAGGCATGGAGGATAGGGATTGACGATTGGTCGTGGGAATGAGAAGCTGTAGAGCAGGCCTTCTTGGTCTGTTGCTTGTCGCTTGGTTTGAGCGTTCCTGCGGTCACAGAAGTTGATAATTGACACTCTCGTCGGTTCAGATGGCTCTTTGAGATGGGCTGTCGACTTGCAAACTTGTATACTTTGACCGTGTGTTTACAATGCTATGGTTGTATATACAAGACGGTGTTATCTTAAAGGACAGGCGAAATCGGTCGGCTTGCTATGCGAATCGCGATGCGAGATCCTGCTGTCATCGCAGTTGCTAGTAGTTTTGACTAATGTCCAAAGCATACACACTCGGTGAAGAAGACCCCGACGATCTACTTTCTCAATGCAAAAGATGTTGGTAGTTTCTCCTTGCTCATAGAGTCGATTGCGCCGGGGTTGAATAGTCTTCTTTGAGCCATCTCGTCGTAGAGACTAGAATCGGTGGCTCTCGAGAAGATCCAAAAGAAACACTCAATTGAAAATGTAGCATACCGCTGTAAGTGGGGAGTCGATGTCGACCCAGCGACCATTGGTATCAAGGTAGTAGAAATGCTGGATCGAAATGGGTAATGGGATCACGTTGCGAAATTCTGATGAAGTGCGGTCAAAGATGATACATTGATCAAGAGAGCACGTGAGAGCGGCTCTCAGAGAGCAATAGTAGTAGAGATCGAAACGCCAAGAATCACACCTTCCATATGTGAACGCGGCACTGGCTTTGTCTCTAAATTCATGGCGACATGTCCGCTTGGCTTGCGTCCATTACCTATGTTCTGGCCCAAAGGACATTGAAAGAAAGCGCACCTAGGTAAAAGCCGAGTGCCAAAGAAATGGCCTACTAATTCTAGACGGCGGGCATCGGCCTAGGATGGCCGTCATCGAAGTAGTCGGCCCCTCGATCGTATTTATTTTGGACGTCTATGAAGATGCATCGATTGTTGATCGCTTGTGGTGGCTGTCAGCCACCGAAAGGCTAAAACTGAGCATACGAAGTACTAAGCAGGCATAGATATCTATTGCTACTTCGGACCCTCCAGGTGTTTCTCCACGGACTTGGTGATGCGCGACAATGGCTTCGGAAGCTACATTCATTGTCTAAGTAGAGCTGGATCCCCTACGACCGAGTCCATCACGGCCTTGTCAAGTATGCCTTCGACCAGCGTCTAAGACGATGTGGCGGAAGCGTAACTAGACTAGGAAATCGGGTTCGAACGTTGCTGAGGTACTGTCCAAATGAGTTCGGCTTTCCAGTACTTACTCGGGTTAACTGGGCCATGTTCGTGACTGTTCTACGAAAGCTGAAGCAACATCTTCACTTGATCGCGATGCCGCGTTATGACTGATGGTCGCGCATTCTCTCCATCATGACAGGGCGGAAGCGAAACCCCATTGAGCGATTCCCGTCGATACTGTATCTTCTTCCTTGGCATATGGCCTTGGAAGAAATTGAAAACCTGCAGCACCTGCTAGCTCTTCGCCTCCGCGGTGTGCCTTTGCGAAATCAATCTAGACGGGCGGGAGAATGTGAAAGTCAGACTTCTCTACCCTTTGATGGGCTGACAGCTGACTCGAGTATGATGCTTCGTTGTATTCCCTCATCCTTGCGAAAGTGTGAATACGTCAAATCGTGGTTGTCAAATGCGCTCGATTTGTTCTCCATAGTACTTGGTCCTTGCCTCGAAGTTGATTGACTACATCGCCGGATCGCACAAAAAGACTCTGTTGATGTTGTGGCAACTGTGTGGTAACGCGGCATTCTCAAGTTTTGGAGTCACCAAGTCGTAACAGTAGCTTTCATTGATTTCGCAAATTTTCTGTGGAGAGAGCAGTGCAAAGCGGCCCAGGAAATCGATCGGATATTCCCAACTGGTAAAGAGACGACGACGCGAACGGCGTTGGTTTCCAGGCGCCAAAGACACTCTG